TTCTTCTGTTTTCAAGAAATCTTTCGGCATATTTTTTCTGTTTGCGTGCACTGTTCCAATAACATTAGTTTTACTGTTGAGTAGAGTTACAAAAAGATTTGGTGAAGAATACCAATTGTCCAAATATAATGTATGTCCTTTGTGTAAAATTGGCTTTGATAGTTCTTTGACTACAGTTTCAGATGTATTTTGTCACGGCTAGTGTATATTTTGAAATTATAGCAGTAACCTGTACTGGACTCGCATAATTTATAAACTTTTATACCAAATCTCGTTCTTTTTGACGGATTGTATTGTTTATAGGATAAACGTCCTTTAAATTTTACTAATGATTCGTCAATTGCAATGTCCTCTTGCATAGTATATATTTCTTGGAATTGTTGGTTAAAATAATTTATTACGAGCTTTACTTTACTTAATTTATCACTTTTATTGGCCACCTCATTATGTGCAAAATGCAAAAATCTACCTATTTGTAAAAATCTTTTGTACGGCATCGTTTCTCTAAATATTGGAGTTGCAATAATGGCCCTCTTAGACCAATACATTTTAATTGCGGGTTTCTTCACTTCAGCCGCAATTATACATAGGGCAATATATATTTTTAGTTCATCACAGTCAATAGGAAACCAAGCTTCATCAATTTTTCTCTTTTTTTTTATTATTTATCACTTGTTCCGCATATAGATTTGTCTCCACAAGATTTTCCAAAATATACCATTAAACATATTAAAAACCTCCATTTCCTCTTTGCTTGTACTCAACTGATCTAATGTTGCAGCTTTCATTCTGGCAATTTCCATATATTGCCATATTTTTGGTTGGTTCTCATTTTGAATTCTTCGCTAATCACCAGTTACTTAGTAGCTTTTCGTGTGAAACGTACAATGTCGTTACCACTGGTAGCAAAGTCATTACTGTTCTCAATACTAATTTTTCTTTTTGAAGACATTATAAATGGGCGATTTTATAATACTTCTTACAAACGATGTAACGTCGAATGAGAAGTAACTGAACTCGCACCTCTGGAATGTCTTATGGGCAGAGGCCTCATCAAGTTTCTGAAATGTTTTGCCTGGTAGAGTTATGACGACTCTGAGGCATCTTTTTCGTGTTTGGGCCCGATAACCTTGCGACGCTTCTAAGGTGTCTCATTCATGTTTGGGCCGATAACCTTGCAGCGCCTCTGAGGCGTCTTATTCATGTTTGGTCCGATAACCTTGCGACGCCTCTGAAGCGTCATTGTAAGCGAAGGGTTAAGTTGCTTCGTTTTTTTGTCATAATACTCTCTTTAATTCTATAAACAGACATAATTTCATGCTCAGTTACAAAGTTTCACTGTTCAAGTCCTGTAATTGCTGTGTTGAGAATACCGACTAACTTGTCAATTGAAATTTTGTCGTTTTAAATAACCTCTCTGTCACTTTCTTCACTATCGAAAGCAGTATTTCTAGATCTAGAACCATACTACAGATTTCGCCATCTGTTGATTAATGATTGGGGCATTGTCGTCGCAATGAAAAACTTCTGTTATATCATCTTTATTTATTGCCGCTTCTCCACATTTCTTTACAAAATCCCATAACTGGAAAATTTCACCTTTAGTTTGAGATGGCCGAAAACTTTCAAATTTGCGGCTATCATCTTCGTCATCACCATGAAATATGGTAGCTGGCCATAAATTATGCCGAGCATTTTTTGACGTATTTGGAGACACATCCTTCCAACGCGCATGCATAAAGCATACAAAAAAAAAGTGTGGCTTTGAGGTCCGGATTATAAATAATTCCAGATAATGGATGTCCCGATTACGGACTTTGTACAGTATTTTATTGTGGATAAAAATTTATTGGGAGAAATCAGTATAAAAGATACATTTTTCACATACAAAATGTCTTTGAAGTTTAATTATACGGATGTAAAGCAGATCTCAGCTCAGTTTGCTACATGATTAATATATTAATAATCAATGAAAACCTAATTCAAAATTCAGTTCACCAGATGAAATATACATGTAATGAAACATTATCAGTTCCCATAAATAAAAATTTGAATGTGGTGCAGATCATTTTGTGTGAGGTGTTAAATTTTGTTTTCATTCTTGCATTCCAGATGTATCATTGAAAGCAAAAAATTCCATGCAAATACAAAAACAAATTAACAATAGCATTTCCTCTGTTTTTAGTACTTCTCCATGCATTAAAATGCCTCATACCAGCTATCGACTACAATAAGTTAACAGTTCTAAAACTATTTATACAAAGTAATTTTTCAATAATCCAAGATAATTTCCAGTTTTAATATGTAAATCTTTGCAAAGAAATCCATCTCAGTGCATATAAATTGCCCAGTTTTCTGCAGTGCAACTGTAAGTACTACATGAATGCAGCATGTAATGTACATTAAAAATGTATGTATTGATCAATTTTATTAAGTTGATTAACTGATATAAACATCTGATTACTAACCAAACTCTATTAGCTATATCAATAGAATAAATTTGAATCTTTATCTAGTGAGATAGTAGAAACCTATTACTTTGTGGTTTATTTATTTTGATAGGCAGATTTAATTTATTGATTGAAATTTGTACAATTATTCATCTTCAAAAAAAAAATTAAACACTGAAATCCTTACACTTTTGCTAGAAGCTTACTAATTAAAAAAACTACATAGTATCATGAGACTAGCATTTTAGATGGGAACGTTCGGTACATGGACACTTGATCTTAAAAAAAATTACCACGCAAATGTTATTTTGGAACTTTGTAAAATAGACTTCATAAAGAAAATTTCATGCCTGAATTTTATTGTATAAAAATTTAAACATTTCTCGTTTATGATTTAAAACTTTAATCCCGAATGTCATGATATTCTATCTGATCATGCGATTTTTTTAATTCTGGTGTATATTACCTTATTTAAAATATTCTTTCATTTTTTTAATGATTTAAATATTATTGAACCCCTTGAGTGGCATGACTGCCTTTATTTGATCGTGAGTTTTTTGGGGCTCTTTGTATATATAAATTTATAATTTTAAATATTGTGCTTTGTTAGTGATAGATTGAATGTTTGTCTTCATGAATAGAAGTTTATGAAAATAGGGACTAAAATAAATTATGCAAATTTAGCTATTAAATGTGTTTTCATTACAGGTCTTCATGATCAGATCCAAAACCGTGCCACTAAGAGGCTTTATAAGTTTATAAAAAGGACTTAATAAATTACACAAATTTAGCAAAAACATAGTTTCAATACAGTTCAAACAGAGCAGCAGCAACTAATAAAACACTATACGGCAAGCCTCATCAACCTATTACCTGCGAGTCACGAGTAATCCATTTTACATTTCCAAGCGACTACTTAGTTTCAAAAATAAATTATAAAAAGAACATTAAAAAAATGCAAACAAAGCTATTAATTTACCTGTGCATCATATCTTGAAAAACTTGAAGATAATAAATTAACTTTGGACAAAATTCATGCCTTTTTCATTCCGTGATATTATTGCCAAGGTGCCATTCTTGAGTTTAAATGCAAACAGTCAAAAAAAAAGTACAGATAGACAAAAACAATTTAGGTTTTTGCTTGACCAAAACATTTCTGCTACAACTCAAGAGCTGTAGAAGTATGTTAAGTGTTGAAAGTGAAATAGCAAACATAACTATAATGGGGCATTATTAGTGAGTTGGTAAACTGTGAAACTACATGGGTGAATAATATGGACTTGAATTTAAGGAGGTCATAATTTTTCCAAACTGTTTGGAAGAAAATAATAATAATGTATTAACTAAAGAGTAATTTTACGTTTAAAACCTTTGAAGAGTATTTTATGATATCTATGCATTGGATGTTTTAAGTAACAAATAATAAACAAGATTCGGTAAATTTGAAGGATTACAATTGCTATATATTTTGCAAAATTATAACCTTTGAAATTATAATTTTCCAAATTTACTCAAATTACTGTACCCGATTCTTGCTTAGAATAATTTAGCATTTAATTCTTAAGACTTTTTTAAGGGGGGGACTACAAATTATATATTAATATTTATAAATTTATAGTTATCTTTGGATTACTCACATTTTCTGATTAACATGGCAGTTATCCTTTGTGAGTGTGTGTACATATAAAATGTATATATATTCTTACAGAAAGAGAATGGAATCATAAAAGAAATAACAAAAAGAATTCGATATATTTTTATTTATTAATTTTTAATATAAAACAATACCACACTGAAATTCAAGACAATTAAAATTACATGAATGTGAGATCATATTAAATAAAACCAAAAAATTATCAGTTTTTTAAAATCAATGAAGGAATGAATGCTTTCTTTTCTTCCCTCTGGAGATATAGTACACATGATCAGAGGAGAGTAAAGCACATTGATAGTTTTTAAAAGTACATACTAAAAATTGTGATTTGATGATTAATGCAAAATAAAACTGCATTCTGCTAAAAAAAATTTTTTTAAGGAAACAAAACACAGTTGAAATTCTGTTGACAGATACTTTCTATTAACAGTTTCTGAAATCTTGAATTAGAAAACCAATTCAGTTCCATTAGCCTAAATTGTCTCCTTGGATGACTGTCTATTAATGGGTGTAAAATAAATATATTCTTACAGAAAGAGAATGGAATCATAAAAGAAAATAGTTGGTCTTCGACTGTTATTGTTATATTTCTGTAAACAGTAGCACACACATATATGTAACATTAATTTGTTCCATTTTAGTTTGTGTTAATTTGTAAATTTTAGATTACAAAATGTTAAAAAGTTTCATACATATTCTAATAAAATCTGTTTCAAAGGCACTTTTAAATTAAAGAAAAACTTGCTAATCTGTCTTGTTTCCAAAAAGATGCATGAAATGAAATATTATACATTATGAAATTTGCATGATTTTTTTAAAAATAAACAGTTAAAGCATAAGTTTCTAAGTGAGATAAATATCTTAAGAATAAGAAATGACGTGTTACAGAAGTAGGATTTTTTTTTTTTTTTTTTTTTTTTTTTCATTTAGCCTTTTTTGTTATTTGGCGACCTTTAGGTTTCATATCTTTTTTCTGTAATAGTTCTAACATTGCTGGTGTTGGAATAATACTAGGATCTAAAGACACAGATGTTGTCTGCTTCCTTTTTGTCTGAGTGGATCTTGTAGTTCTTACAGTATTTTCTTTGTTAGAAACCTGTTTAGATGCATCTGCTTTTGTGGCTGGTTTCTGTTATTAAAAAAAAAAAAAAAAAAAAAAAAAAAGTAAATATTTTAGTAAGTTAGTAATAAAATGAATGGGATTTAAATAATGATAAAAATAACATTTATTACTATTAATATTCAGCTTTTAAAAAGAACAGAAAAATTATTGAATATTATTGATGATAATGAATTATGCTCTAAAATATAAAAATAAATTCAGAAATTACTTAACTAAGGTGCAAGCTTATGTAAAATTTAAACAGCACACAAAGTCTTAATTTAAAAAGTTAAAACATCGGTCATATTTCAAAGGATGGCAACAAAATACAGCTGCCAAAAAAGTTTCTGAAAATATAAAAATGAAGAATGATAACTGATAAGCAACAATGCATATTAAATGCATATGTGTAATATGTGTCTTCCTATGTATGCATATGTCCAGCAATATTTTTCTAACACTATTATCTAAGCATCTATACATGTATTTCATAATTATTAAAGTAATTAAGACTACATCTAAATAAAAACAATTCAGATATCAAAAGGCAAGAAACATTTTCTTATAGCACTTTTGTGAATTTTACAATGATAGTATTTTAAGAACTGGCTTCAGATGGTCAATATAAAGCTATTATGCTTCCCACAATGTCGAAACATCCCAAGTCAAGTTGATGATAATGTACAGCAATGTAATGTAACACAATATACCAGTGAAAAAATTTGGGAAAAACTTATCAGTCATGTCTAATGTCAACATATGAGTAGTTTCAGAGATCAATGCACATTATTAGAAAGTGTACTTATCATTTTTCAAATTTATTTAATAAGAGAGTTTCAATTTTCAAAAAATTAAGTTCTCTAAAATTAATGAAGCTAGAATAAGGAGAACATGCTCTTTGGCTTTTAAATTATGAAAGTATTATTTTTACTAGAAAATGACATATATTTAATAATTAAATGCATTTTTAATTATGATTTCATTATTACACTACTTTCTTCTTGTTTTTTTTTATAACAGTTATATAAGTGTACATTGTGATGAATTGCGATTACATGCAAGTGAATTACAATCTACAAAATTTGGGAAACGCTGACTTAGCCATAAATTTGCATTTAATTCAATTCAAGGTGTATATTAAATATCACATATCAGTCTTCCACATTAAATGCATTCTCTCTTATTTAGAAATTAAAAATCAATACTGCTAAGAAAATTACTATACCTTCACCATTTTCTTAAAAATAAGAAGGCTATCTTTATCACAGCCTTTCTTCTTAAGTTCATCCTTCAGAAATTTCCTACATAAGTTATAATCAGGAGCTTCATCAAAGTCAAGATCACAGACATACTGCAAAAGTTTCGCTATTCCATCTTAAATAAAATTAAAAATTAGGACAATAGTTTTAAAATAAAAATAGCCTCTCGCATGAAATTGTCAATACAATCTTAAATATTCATATATTATGCTACAATTTCAGTAAATAGTTATCACTAAACTATGCAGTATTTAACTTCTTCACTCCATAGCTCCACGCACATATGGACTCTGGCTCAGTGTTATCTAAAATTAGGACATAAGAAAATTTGTAATTCTGACTCCATATGAATATTTAAATTCACAATGAATCTTAAGAGTCCTGACAATGAAACAATTTCTGAAGGTATATTTGAAAATGAGAGCACGTTCACATAAATGAAAGGAATTTTAATTATTATAAAGCTTAAATACATATATAAAGAAATATTATTTAAAAAAATTTCATGTTTCAAAATTTGCTCAAAAGACTCTTATTCATAATAACAACAAATTAAAAACATTACTGTGAATATCCCTATGCTTTTTATAATGGCTTTTAAAACAACAGATCATAGTGACGTACCAAAAAATGTCCACACAAAAATGAAACTCAATTTTTCTAGGTAGTTAAATGTCATAAAAAACATAATAAGTGAAAAATGAAATATTAACAGCATATTTAAAACCCAAATTCCTCTATATTATTTTAACACATTTTTATTACACATTTATTACAGACGAAAACAATAACAAAAGACATACTATGATATAAAATAACTATCTACAATTCTAGAAAGAACCCCTTCACGATGGCATGTTGCTGAAATAAAAACCATCTGCAGATGGGAGTGTCATATATGCATCAGTCCCAAATACCTAGGTGATGCACTGGTGTATCACATCATCTCCAAGGTTAGTTGCATTAAGCAACATGCCGTCTGGTTAAAGAATTACCTGCTGATGCATATATGATACACTTCTCCTGAAGGGGTTAACATGCAGATTAATTCAGATACTTTTTAAAACACCCATAACGAAAAGCAGTAAAATAATTCTATATATCATTAATCATTATCATAATATATCATTAATATAGCTTGTAATTTAAACTGAAATCGGTAATGAATTGCTACAATAAAAAATATAATTGATAGATCTGATTGTTTGGTCTGATCATCTGTCATCCAATGGTTGGCACACTTGGTAATCTGCCTCCACTTCTACTAGATACTTCACCCATAACATGGTGCTATTAGTATTTCATTCAGAAAAGCCTGTCAGTTCTTCACATTTTTTTGCCATTTGCAGTTAATATTCAATCTGAAACTTTGTATTTATACAGTGTGTGTGTGCATTTTTATACTTATTTATTCATGTATCTAGAATTTGATAAAAGTATTGATAAATAAAGCAGAAATATGTGACTTTAACAATTCATGAAAAGCTGAATGAATAACATCAATCTTATGGAATAAGAATTATTCAAAATTTAAATATAGGAATTCATTTGCACTAAATTTATGAAAACTCCACATGCATCAAAGATATAAAACTCAGAAACAAATTAAGAAAGTCCCTCCCTGAAATATTGATAAATATACAGTCCAACTATCCTGCATTGTCTTAATTGGACAGCTTAAGTAATCAAAATGCTTTTAAATTTTGAAGGCCCTTTTTTTTTTAACAAAATGGAGGGACTTGTTAAGCTATTTTAAAGTATGCTGTTGTTGCTAATCCTCAAGTCCAGCTTCTGCTAGACGAAATCCACGAGTTTATTCACCTTAAAAAAGTTATAGACTAACATAGGAAACTTAACCAGATCGTCGTAGTTTTGACTTCCTATTGTTGACAAACAAAAACTATCACTAAACACAGGGTTCGTACACATTTCTGCACGTGGAAAATAAGTACTTTTAAAGATTTTAGGGACCATTAATGAAAAAAATTAAGGGCCTATGAACAAATGGGAACTTGATAAAATCAATTAAAATTATTATTTATGCCTGAACTTCACTAAAAAAAATACCACCTAAAAATAAAATAGATCCATAAGTTGGATGCATTATTATTAAACTTGAATTAATTAATATAATTCTTAATAAGTTTGAGATTAAAATAAACTTTATGAAATTTATTAAGTAGCATTAAATATTTTATACTCATAATAGTTAAACATATTTGAAAGAAGATAAATGGCATTTTATTTATATTTTACTAACAGTTAGCTTTATGTTGATTTTTTAGTCCAAAGAGGCTTTGTCCCTGAAGGACTATTGTTTTCATTTTGCATTGGTTCACTATAAATGTGCATTTCACTTTCCAAACTGTTGCGACCAAATGTTAGAGTCCTGCATTATATTTGAAGAAATTAAATAATGAAAAATCTGCATAAACGTATGCATATTTCTCGCATTATGATAAAACAAGGCTATATAGAGCCATGGAATTTTGAATAATGTAATCCCTAGTGCGAATATGGGCATGTGGACCCCAAATTTGAAATTTGTTTTATTATCAATTTCATATTTTGTAAAACTTTTAACGAATTTTTGATTAACCAACTCAAGGATGTGCACGAGACTTTGTATCGAAAATTCTAAAGATATGCTATATTTAAAACTGTTTTGCAATATTGCTCTTGAAATGAATTTTATAGTTTAAGTGCGAAGAACGCGATATTTAATAAATAAAGGTAACAGACAAAATGTTACAAAAATGCCCCTTTGGATGTAATTTAATTCTTTTTTTTTTTTTTTTTTTTTTTTTTTTTTTAATGTCTAATTTTGTCCCATACTTGCTCAGTCTGATATTTTTCTTTACACTGTTGATAGAAAATTTTACAACTATCAGTCTTAAAAAAGGTGCTAGTGTTCCACTGCATTTAAAAAAAATAAATGAATGAAATAAAAAATTATAAATGATTAATTTTTACACATTATTTCAATATTAAATTCATTTATTTGAAGTAGAAAAATAATAATAAATAAATTAATTTCTTTTAATACCTGGGCAGTCTCCATCTGGAAATAATTTCTCCAAAAATTCATCTAAATTTGCCATGCACCTATAAAAAGATGATTATGCATAATAAAAATGTTAAGTACATCATAAACATGGATATGTTTATGCTATAAAAATTTAAGACTGTTTATGACAAATTTCTGTTTAGTAAATCTGCATAGAACATTTACAACTCTGTTATATCTAACTTGCATCACCAAATAATTTATAACTTCTTTATACTAATCTGTATCTAGTAATTAAAAGAATTAATTTTAAAACTGCCATTTACTATATATATGTATATATGAAAAAACATACAGAATTAATATCAACCAAGAATAGCAAATTATCTTATTATTAAGATTAGGTCATTTGATTAGGACAAAGCACACAGCAGCAATCAGCCTAAGGGAAGTGATGCCTTTGTGGAGGACCTTCTAAGGGAAACTGGCTTGTATTCATGTTACACATGGGGAAAACTACAAACACCAATCGCACAGCAGGCTGTTCACTTAGGTTTGAGGTCAAGAAAAACTATTAGTACTCAGTAATCTTTAATCGCTTGGCCACTATAAGGGGATATAATATCATATTATGATATTAATATTAATAAATAAATTATAGTTAATTGCATGGTCTTTCGTCAAGGAGCAACTGAAAGAATTATCAAAATAGCTAAACATTTATGTTTCTGAATTATTTCAAAAGAAAATACTCAAAGAAATTTTCTTTTAAATTTAAAAGAATTAAATGAGACTATATTACCACAAAATTCTAAATAAAAAATCTGATGTGTACACCACATGACTTCCTTGTATTTGGAATACTAAATTATACGCACTTTTTCTTGCATTTCATTTAAACTGATTGGATTGAATTAAATCTACTTCGCCGACAGCGCATATACCACAATAGAATAAATGCATTCTTTAAAATTCATTCTAGTATTTGTTTACCATAGCGACACTCTGGCGCTAGATTCACTTAACAGTATTAATAATTATATAACAGTTAACTTATATAAAAATTATATAACGGAAACTAAGTTAACTGTTATATAATCCAATAATTATATATAAGTTAACATATATATTTCGTTCATATTATAACTCATAATGCACAAAATTTATATCATTTAAAGAATAGAATTATCTAATCGTTGCCACATTTTCTATTCAAATACTATAATAAAGCTAGAATGATGCATAAAAGAAATTAAGCAAACAAAACAAAAAAGAAACAGTTTTTCACAGACGATTGAGTATTTCTCATTTAATTAATTCAGTTCTCACTTCGCGAGAAGGCAAAAGTACATAAAAACTCAAAATATCTATATTAAAAAATTATGAAGTAAATCTTAAAACACTTATTTCTTCGAAAAAATTCCAGAAAGAATTAAGCACGATTTAATTGGCAATAATAAATGAATGTGTTATCTTTGTTGTTGCGAAGCTAAGTTTCTCTAGATTGGCAACAAATCCACTAGTCTCCTGTTTCAAATGTAAACATCAATGGCCGCCATTAAAAAAAGGTTTAGCGGCACTTATACAACTTTAAAATTGTTAATAATTCTAAAAATATTGCATACAAGGCATAAAAACCTTAACCGGAAGATAAAAACAACATATTACATTCATTTTTAAAGCAAAAAATGTACAATTTACAAACATATAAGAGTAAAGAAACTGAGATCACTGAACCGGGTAACTGAGTGAATATAGATATAAATCTATTTATGTATGTTTGGTGCGGCCGATTGCAACCTAAATACCAGGTGCACATCTACATGTTATAGCAGTCCTATACACAAAATTTCAACGTTCTGAGGCTACTCGTTTTTGAGTTATGCGAGGTACGCACGTACGTACATAAGTTCGTACAGACGCCACGAAAAATTCTCTTCAGAATTAATTTTAAAGCAGTTTTATAATTTTTTTTGAGGAAACGAGTCTTTTATTCTGCCCTCATGTACAGATATCATGCAAAAACATCGTTAAATTGCATTCGATAGCGGTCAAAATGGATATTTTCGTTGAAATATGCTGCCTGAAACTTTTCGCGATTACAATACTTCCTTTCTACTTCGTACAAGGAAGTAAAAACATTTAAGAAATTTTAAATGGCAATCATCAAGATATAGCCTGCCCAATTTGCCACCCTTGATTAATATTAATTCTCTGGGTTATATATTTTATCTCTTTCTTAAATAATTAATTTTAGGGGATTTTTTTCAACATTAATAGTATTAATTAAATATTCCTTCTTTCTGGTCTTTATACATATACATTTAATACAATATAAAAATACATTTAAATGTCGTGGGGGTACAAAATATGCTAAAACCAGAAATGAAATACAAAATTTTCATCTTTTGTTGCGTCCTTAGGGTAGCACAAAAGTAAATAAAGTAGCTTGTCACTAAACCAAAAAAGGACACAAGTTAAAGTTTAAAATAATCTTAGAAAACAATAATCTCTGTCTTTATCAGTTTAGCCCCTACAGGCTAAAGTAGGTAATGCAAAAATTGCAAAATTATAGCATCAAAAACGTAGACATCTACTCAAAATACATTCAAAATGTCATTGTGAATAAAAATAAATATATTTAAAAAAATTATGAGAGTTGTGTCTGGTAAACTCGGCAAAGTTGTGAGACTAGATATAACCCTCCCATTTTTAAAAGTCTTTTTATTATTTTGTTATTTAACACTACAACTTTTTCCATTCATTGAACTGAAAACACATTAATACTTTACTTGAACTCAAATCAGCAGCTTTTTAGGATTCCTAATCCAGGTAATTCCAAAGTTTTTTCTTTTTCAAATTATTCATTTTCACTACTAAAAATTTTAAAATTCAATAAATGTTTTCCTTATTATTTTTATTGAGTTATTATTTATTAAAACACATTTCTTCATTTTAAAGCTTTTGTTGCTCATGTTATAGATTTTAAGAACACTCTATTTTTATTTTTTTGATCAAATTTCATTTATTTCTTCATATGTTGATTACTTCTGTTGTAACTGTTTTTGACGGGTCCACTCAAATTTTAAATTATTATTAGATTTTTAAGCTTTATTTCTTCTTTAAGATTTATACTATTATAATATATATATATATATATATTTAACTTGGGCTTTACAAAATTTGCATATGATTTTGTTTTCAAGTATCGGATTATTGTTTTTGCAAGTTTTATTCGACTCTTATCTACTAAAATATTTTTTTTAAATTTGTTTGTTCCTGACAATTTTTTGCACTGCTTACTTCAGCCTGTAAGAGTTGGGCTGATAAAGACCGAGATTACTTTTATTGTTTTTCTAAGATTATAATTCCATACTTTAAACTTAAATTTGCATTTTTATCAGTTCAGAAACAGATTGTTTTATTTATTTCTTTTGTTGCACCAAACCCTTGATGAAGATGGAGTGAAATATGTAAATTTCATATTTCACTTTTGGTTTTGTTATCTTTTGCCCCTCTTCTAGCAGTTTGCCACTGTGGTTCTTTTTTTTTTTTTTTTTCCTCCGGGCGGAAAGGGTTTGTATGATATTATTGATTCTGAACTGAATACATGATGAATTTTAATTTTTTTTTTTTTACTTTGCATTACTAAGGCCCATATCACACATGGATTTGTTTAGACGAACAACTGTTTCCAACAATTTTTCTGCCTGGTTTACTATTGAAAGAAAGATTCACGATTTTTTCCTTCCTTTTGAAAAATATTGCAAGTTGTTCGTTTTCAACCAATCAGCTATCAGCTTGTTTGTAATGAGAACCCGTTTCTCCTTTACATGTTAACCCCAAAATGATCTGTGGTGATTGGCTGCTGTGACAAAGCAGAAAAACTGTTTCAAACAGCTGTTCTTCCGAAACAAACGGATGTGCAATACGAGCCTAATACTATTTGTCGCTGATATCAGGAAGCAACTGGATTAGGTTTTGAACTGTTTTTTACATTGTATTTATTCATTTACATATATAAAAAATACATTAAATAAACTCACTGCTCCTTTTCTCGCTGGAGTTTGTTATTATCCGAGATACAGTGTTCCCAAGGTAGTTCTCCACATAGCCACTGAAGCAAATTGTAGCATAATACTTCCAAATCACTGCGGCGTGAAAAAGCTGTTGAAACAAAATACTAAATTATTACTATTATTTTTTAGTTTTTTTTAATAACAAAATTATAGAAAAAATACAAGAATGATGAAAAATCAGAACTGAAAATTAAGTTAATCCTTTTTGACTAATGCATATATTTTAAATATGGCATACATCAATTCATGATTCATGTATTTTTATTTGCAAAGTTATTCATTAATGGAAATTAGTTATTTATTTGATTTATACATTCTACATCAGGTAAAATAATACGATGTGAATTTTTCATTCTATAATATTCAGAAGCAATCACAATAGAATTTTTATATACAAATTTTCATTTACTTTAATATTAAGGCTTTCATTTCTATTATTTTACTTGACATCAAATAGAGAGCACATTATTTCATATTTCATTACCTAAATTTGGCGATATCAGCCTACATTTCAGTATGGTCCCTGTGTATTGTAATTGATCCCTATATGTAATTGTAACCATATCATCCTTATATGTAACTTTATATGCTTTTTGAAAGTAATTTCGAAAAATGGAAGGTAGTGGAAATTCCTCGGTGGCCAGAGGAAAACTATACAAGACCTAAGAGAGCATCACTTGTCAATTTTTAGTTCAGAGTTGATTTTGGAGTATAGAGAAATCTCTGTGAGAGCTTTGCTCTATAGATGTGCTTTGCACTAAGCTGTGTTAAACTTTTTTTAGTAGTCTGTAGTGGCGACTACTGACTCTGCTCTATCATACTGAGAACTTTGAAGTACTTTCACAAAAAGTTTCAGAACTGTAAAGTATTTCTTTTGAAAAAAGTATTTTTACCACGCTGTCATTGGTTTTGCGTGCGTTCAACCCATTACAAACTTGTAGGTAGATAATAATACATTTAACAAATAAGGGCTGCATTATTTTGTACTTAAGTATTTATGTATAGCAACAACACATTAAACAGTTTACTTAACAGTTTATCTATTGTTTTGCATAATATCCAAGCTTCTGCATGTAGCACTACAATTTCTACTAGAAACTTCATCATATGTTTGATTACTTCATTAACAATACTCTGATAAAGTTAGATTTAGTTCCAATAAAAATGAAGCGGCAATAAATTCTATAATTATTACCACTTCATAATTCTATAATATTTAGACTGATAAAATGAAATACACGTTCATATACCATGCAAAATCAAGCATGCAGAAAATTATCGGAAATGATGTGGAACACATGTATTAAAAAAATTGGGGAAATAATTCATAAATACTTACATCCCCTGTGAGCATCCCTACTAGTAAATTCAGGTGTTCCATTATGTGCTTTTTTTACATCAGGTAAATCTTTTTTATGAACCCCTTCACGTTGATATTTACATGCCAGTCCCATATCTACAAGATAAACCTAGAAAAATATTAAAATTACCATACAATATAAATAAAAAAATCTATTTTACATTGAAAAGGCAAAATTTCTTTTTGCAAGGTATATTTGAAACAGTTTCTAAATAATGCAACAGTGAAGTATTTTCATACCATTTTTTCAAAGGCATTTAATATTTAATCTCCTTTTTTAGACAAAGATTATTTTCTGTCAATTACATGGAATTAATTTAGATTCAAATATAAGTAATTTAGACTCACTTTAAAATATTTAATCTAAACAGTTTTACTCACATAATTTAAAACAAAATTACACAAACATGAAAAGACACAATATGCAATAATTAATCAAGAGTTTTCATAAAATTAATTTTTAATAATATTTTACACCTGTCTTTATGCTTCATAATATTTACCCAGTTTAAAAACCAATGAAAAATGATAAAAATACTTTTAAAACATATACAGTACAAAGTCTTTAATCCGGAATGATCTAAAATCCAGACCTAAAACCTACAAACTTTCTGCGCATGCGTAAGTGCTTACGCATAATACGTTTATGCATGCGAATTTAATGTATAACGGACGGTATAAGCTAGGCTAAAATTATCTAATTATCTATTTCAGTTACTGTTGCAGATTGCGTTGTTCCTTAATCTCCTAATTGGATCTGGCTTATCATTTTTTGTTAGAGCAATTTTATAAAAAGTAAGCTTGAACTTTCGATTATGTCAAAAGAGTTTCTGATTCTGGAGCTGCCAAAGGATCTACAAAGCGAAAGCATGTTTCGATATCCATCAAAAAGTGGATCAAGGCATGAAGAAAGTGACAGAGAGGTTAGAGAAAATGAAAAAAGGTACTTACGTATTAACGCAAGCAGACCAAAATTCGCCTAAATCGCCAAATTTGGCGACCCTACGTGTTATACGTAGTTTTGTAAAAAGAATTTATTTGTAAAAAGGAAAAATAACACTGGGCGTGTACTACCACAGCAATGGGTTTTCAGCGGAATTTGCCGAGAAAAGAAAGAGACTTTTTTGGTTACTGTACCTAACAGAAGCGCCGTTACCCTCATGGAAAAAATTTGCGAAAATATCAAGGAAGGAAGGATCATTTGTCGGATTGCTGGAAAGGATAACAATACAAGTGAGTTCGAAAATGCTGGATTTCTGCATGGAACTGTCAATCACAAATATAACTTTGTGGATCCAACACGAGCGTTCACACACAACATGTAGAGCGCATGTAGGGCTCAGCCAAATGGCGCAACAAAAAACAGGAGAGGAACAGCCCGTCATCATCTTGACTCATACCTTATCGAATTTATATGGCGCCAAGCTCAAGCTGTTAATGGCGAAGACGGTTTTCAATCAGTGCTAAAAGCACTAGCCAAAAGATTTCTGCCGAAAAAAATAATTCTGCAACTTATTCAAATTCGAAACCGGAAGGGTTTAATTGCTATTTTATATTTTAAAACAAAATAATATAAAAAACTGTATTAAAAATTATCTGTAATTAATAAATGTACATTTTCTTTCTATTCATACTTTTTTACTCAAACTTACAAATCGCATCAACCTGGTTGCGATAATACGTAAGTACCTGAATAAATGGCGATTGACAAGTTAGTCGGTATTCTCGGCACAGCAATTACAGGACTTGAACAGCGGAACTTTGTAACTGAACAGGAAATTATGTCAGTTTATAGAATTAAAAAGGAAGTATTAGCACATAAAACGAAGCAACTTACATTGAAAGAAATGTATAATAAAGTAAACAAATAAATATTAACCTTTCTTTTTGTAAATTTTGATACCCTTTAGATCATAATTGCTCTTTATTTCAGAAATTATGGTTTCATATTTTTAATTTTAATATTTCTGCATGCCATCTTACCAGACTTAAAATGATCATCTATAGTCCGGAAAACCCCTTATCCGGAATCGCCGAAATCCCGACGAGTCCAGATTAAAGACTTTGTACTGTATAGCACTAAAAATCAGCTAACAGAAAGCCTTGGTAGATATTTTTAGATGGTAGTTATTTAAATATTTAAAAGCAAAACTATGAATGAGTGTACCACTATGATGGTTTCCGACCACGGACAGGAACCAAACAGAATTATATACCATCACAGCAGGGAAAACTCCAAAGTAACAAAGCTGAGTATTACATACTAATACAGTCAAAAGTCGTTAATTCGGACATCCATAATTCGGAATGATCTATAATCCGGACCTCAAAACTAAAACTTCTGCGCATGCGCCGTGTTGACACACGCGTATAGGCGTTTACGCGTACACGTAAGACCTTTTACGACTGCACATATGAGTGTGCGCAAGTGCAGAATACGTTTTCGCGTGCGCATTTTATGTATAATGGACGTATAAGCTAAATAATTATCTATTTCAGTTAACGTTGATGATTGCGTTGTTCCTTAATTTTCGAATTGGATCCGGCTTATTACTTTTTGCAGACTGTAAGAGCAATTTTATAAAAGTAAGTTTAAACTTTTCGATTATATCAAATAGAATTTCCGATATATATTTGTTAATATGTAAAGGATCTACCGAAATCTGTTTATCAATTTCACGCTGCTCGCGGGGGGAGGGGGGGCGCCGCGGCGGCGCAATGAATTGGAAGTTGATCTGTCAGCACTATCCTTATCTTCAGGGCAGATGTTTTTATTTTATTTGGCTTATAATTGCTTATCAAATGTAGGTATTTCATCTCGATGTACTCCGTCTTTGATATGATTTAAATCAAGTCCTGTCATTATAATTCGCTTCCATAGCGAAGAAAGTGACAGAGGTTATTGAAAACGAAAAAAATTTCGATTGACAAATTAGTCGGTATTCTCAACACAGCAATTATAGGACTTGAACAGCGGAACTTTGTAACTGAACAAGAAATTATGTCTGTTTAATAGAATTAAAGAGAAAGTATTATCACATAAAAACGAAGCAAAACTTAAACAACTTACATTGAAAGAAATGTTTAATAAAGTAAACAAATAAATATTAAGCTTTTTTTTTTTGTAAATTTTGATACCCTTTAGATCATAATTGTTCTTTATTTCATAAATTACGGTTTCATACTTTTAATTTTAGAATTTCTGCATGCCATCTTACGAGATTTAAACTGATGATCTATAATCCGGAAAAATCGATAATCTGGAATCGCCGAAGTCCCGACGAGTCCGGATTAACGACTTTTGACTGTAGCAGTTTCTATAGCTTGATAACTGCAGTCACCAAGCATTAGTCCGATTATCTGCTTTAAATTCTGAACATTTCAAACATAATATTATTAATGGTTTTTCCTGCTTATGCAACGTCTTGAAATTTTCTCTATTTCACCAAGGGCCACTCTCTTTTTGAGTGTGTTAGACATCCACATTGCCCAGGCACAGCCCGCTGGTTTCTTAAAGCGCCAGGTTCTTGTATGTACACAATGAAAAAAAATAATGATCCCTGTCACCTTCCTCTCCACATTTGCAGAAAGGAGTATCCCTAAGTCTGAATCTGTTAAGGTATACTTCGAATGGTCCATGACCTGTCAAGAATTGTACCAGGCTAGCATGGTGAGTCTTTATTTCCATGTTAACTTTTGGCAGTTAGTGATATGTCCTTTGTCCTACCTCAGCCACTGTCCATCCAATTTTGTAGCAAACCTGTCAGACTTGTTCGTTAAATGCGAGACCAAGGAAGTTTTTTCGGTCGTTCTAGTAAATATGTGCAACTGACTGCCAGCTTGGGCAATAGGTCAGCGGCTTCATTGCTCTTAATCTTTGTATGAGCGGAAACCCATTTTAAAGTAGGTCTTTCTGAGACAGGCATTGCTAGAAGCTGTTTTTGAATTCAGTATATTAAGGGACTCCAGCTGTTTTACCTGCGATACCTGCCAGTCTTGAAGCCGAATCGCTGAGTATGGAGAATTTCTGCTGCTGACATGTGTTCGCGTACCTAATGGCGGCATTGATAGCTAGAAACTCTGCTTGGTATACCGAGTTGTTCAAGCCTCGTTTCTTCTTCCACTCAAATGTTCCAATACCATTTTCCAGTCTACAAAAGGCGTTGCCCATGCCGTTCTCCATATTGGAGCCATCTGTAAAAAGGTTATTATTGCTGCTTTGAATTGGTTGGTTGTTTATGCTGATACCGTCGGAGAGATTAAAAGCAAAAGCTATGTCTGGTTATGGCAAATGAATTTTCTAATTGATCAAATAAAGATGGGGTAGAAGAAAACTTTCATTTAGACTGTCTTGCCATTTTCATGCCTAGCCAGTCATTCTGACTTTTTCTATAAAAATACATTTTTTAAAGGTATGGCTTTAAAAAAAAACTTGCAATTCTCAAAGTAAAAATGGGATTAAAACTTCACTAAAAATTACACCAACTTCATAATAATCTTAACAAAAGTTAATATATCAAATGCTGTTAATTTGCAAATAACCCTTTTTGAGCAGCTGCATTCAACGATGTTATAACAGTCATAAGCATACACATACAAAGAACACATTGTGAGGTTACATATTTACTGAATATTCAAGTGCAAAAATAAGCATGGATTCAGAACAATAAAAAGGTTGATAAGGAGCACAAGACAGACAAAATATATTTACTTTAAAAATTACTGGCTTACCAGAAACCAATATTTTATGTGCAAATTGCAAATGAAACAAAAAAAAACTAGATTATTTGTTTCCCAAATGCACAACTAGTACACAATTTTTTATACCCTGTGATTTTACAAAAATCGTAAAACAATTATTTAATTTCATCTGCAAGTGCATACCTGATTCTCTGTACCCTTTTTATGGCCTAGCAGAAGATTTGCAGCTTTGATGTCTCCGTGAAGATAACCTGAGCTATGGATGTACTCCAAGACATTAAGCTAAAATTTAAAAATAAATAATTAACTAAAAGAAATTATGTTATAGATAAAAGTACGTAAAAACAAAGATATGCTGAAATAAATCAGTTTACTCATAGCATAATATCATTTAGCAATAAACATCATGCTATACCTTTCTGCTTTAAAATTTTTAGTAAAGACAAATGCTTAGTGAATTTGATATACTGTTCATCTCTTTGTTCTGTTACATTCATAGTGATTTATACACTTTTCATACAAATAATATGAAAAACTAATAAAAAAATTTCCCCGTTTTGCTCATGGAAATTTCTAAAAAATGTTACAAAAATTTCAAAATTTTAATTTTTACTTCAGAATAAATACGGCATATTTCTCAGTTGAAGATACAGTGATGTGAATGCAAAATCATCTTTAGCTCATAAAGAAATTTTTATGATATATTTTGCAGCAAGTGGTGCTAAGCTCCTAAAAGAGACTTTTAGCATGTGTAGTAATTCGGAACAGAAAATGCATCAAAGCAACTACATAACTAGCATAACAGTCACAGTTTAAGTCACCTTACTCCCTGCATTTTCATTAATTGTTTACAGTTAATGCATATAAGAGCAATACATTATTTACAACACGTTAAGATTTTTTATTTCTTTCAACTTAACTATTTTGTATTTGATTTAAATACATTGCTTAAAATTTGAATAAAAATTGGATTTTTAATCCATTAAATTTTTTTAAAATATGAAATTTCCATAAGTACATCCATAGCTCAGGTTATCTTGACGGAGACATCAAAGCTGCAAATCTTCTGCTAGGCCATAAAAAGGGTACAGAGAATCAGGTATGCACTTGCAGATGAAATTAAATAATTGTTTTACGATTTTTGTAAAATATGAAATTTTAAAATAAATGATGTACTTGTGAATTAATAATTTATTTACCTATTATGCTGAATACTACTATGACACTTTTTTTTTTTTTTTTAATTTCCAGTTGCAAAAAGAAAATTAAAGTATTCTAGTTAAAAAAGTCAGAATTAGAAGCACAATAAAATATCCTGAGCAGAGACCGTAAAGTGTTTCGATTCTTTGTAAGAAGGAAAACTTTCCAGTTGCTAATTTACATGTTGACAGTTAAAACCACAATGATGCATAGGAGGAAAACTTTTAATGCTTCACAACTGTCAGTACATTCTTAAACAGAAGACCAGCCACTGGATTGTGATGTCACAAACTGGTGGATTACAATTAGCCTTGATCACCCACTTACTGCTGCTGTATGTGTTTTTAAAGATTTACTAACAGGACATTTTCTTCATCTGATATACATATACTATACTATATTCTTTTTTATACTTTAGATATATATATATAGACAGAGAGATGAAGATATATATTTTCAATTCATTTGCGGATAAAATCTTGGAAACATATGAATATGTACAAAAACATTATAAACCATTAATTCTTGTACGGTTTTATATGTTTACAATTGGAATAGTGCTTAAGTGACTTAAAAAAGTAATAATAAAGAAAAGTTAGAATATGCTAGTAATATTTAAGTCATTTACTGCATAACAGATATACAGGAAGGACATATAGAAATATTTTTTAAGGAAGTTAGAAGCTTTTAAATTTCAGCAGAGCATGTGGTAGGGCCTAGTTAAGTCAAGAAAAATGCTATGACATAATACCGGATGTCCCATGCATTAACACTCCATCCCTTCCTCCTCCCGTAATGAAATTCACAATTTTTAAAATAAATTATAAATTTTCCTCTGTTGTTATTTTACCAAGTTGTTTACTAACATCCACAAAATATGCTTACTTTTCATTACATTCAGATTCCAGATTTTTTTGCATAAGCTAACAGTAAATAACAAATTTTCAATTCTGTATTTTATAATGTTCCAATTAAATTTTTATGCAATGAATAAAAAACAAAGTTTTTCAAACTTTTTCTTTCCGCCTTGTTTGGACAATGAGTCATTCATTGTTTTGCAGTAATTCCTAATTAATATATTAGAGGCCACATCACAAGCATTTTATGAAGTCTGTTGGAGGAGTGTTCATTTTCACATGCCTCGAATGGCAAATACTTACAATTTTCACATACCTCAAATGGCAATAGTTCTATAACGAGCTGGGTTGCATAAACCTATGATTTTTCTTTAAAAAAAAATAAGATTCATTTTCAAAAGATATTAATGTGAATATAACAAATGTATTTTCAATTATTTCTTATGCTAATGCAAAACTATGCACTTTATATTACAAGTTTAAAAAGTCATGAGCATGTTTATTGTTTTATAGTTTTTTTATAAAAACTTCTAGTACGAAAATATATTATACATTAATTTAAATACTTCCATTTCCTGCTATATGCATATTAACTTAAAAGTTTCAAGTTGTAAAATTAATCAAAAAATCAAAAATTGAAGATTTAAAAAAAATGAATATTTAGCAGTCATACAATTTGATACATTGATTAGCCTATACTAACTGATACATTATTACTCTATACAATGTTACATATAATCTATATATATAACGAAGAAAGTCTGTGTGTTTGTCCTCTAATAACTCGGTCACTACTATAGCTATCGCCGCCAAACTTTCTACGATTCTTTTCTGGGTCCTAGAAACTGTTGACGTCCACTTTTTCCAAAAAAAAAGTAGTTAAATCCGAAATATAAATTAAAATATAAATATAACTTGGAAAAACAATCAATTTTCGCTTTCATTTTTTCCGAGCGGCAACAGTCTTGCAAGCCGCTTTATTTCGAAAGTTATTGCCACCGCTCGCTTTAAAATCCTAAAGTTTGTTAATAAAATTTCTAAGTTTTACGACGAAATAAAAATAGTACTGCCAAACATTAAATACATTATTCACGATTCCAAAAATTCATTGGAAGCCATTTCGACTATTATCATCTAGGTACGACTTTAATCACCCAAAATATTAATTAAAATGTCTAAAAGTGCTAATTTCACACTCATTTTTCAGAGTGGCAACTGTCTCGAATGTTGGAGATAAAAATGCTTTATTTCAAGAAGCGTTGCAACTGTTCGTTTTCAAATTGAAGAGTTTGTTAATACAAAATTTTTAAGTTTTACAAAATCTATACATATAAAGAATGTATGTTTGTTTTCGTTATTCATTTCTGATCAATTATGATAATTTTTTTGCCACATTTAATCGATTAAAATTGAACATAGGTGAAACATTGGATGGAAGAGCTTTTACGACTATTTGATTAGAAAAAGAAAAATCATTAAAAACTGTGTGCCATTGTTGCTGATATAACGAGAGATAATTAGCTTATTTTACTATCGAAATTTTTTATGTGGGTTCCATATTACATCAGACTGAAAAATGTATGACTATGAATCGTATTTCTTGCATCGTTATTAGAGAAGTATTACAGCGGTATCTTTCTCTTTGTTGTTAGATGCATTACTCTCAATCTAACTTAACTGGCATTGGGTACTTCTGCTAGTACATAACTATAGAAATTAAATTCCACAAATACCCATTCTTTTAAATACAAAAGCAAATACCTTAACACTAGAATGGCGGTAGGGGTTATTTTGACCCCTGAACACTTTTGACCGTTGATTACTTTTGTTTTATTGGAAGAAATCGTTTGGAATTTTTTTACTTTTCCTAAATAGATAACAAATATTTGTAAAAAAATTTTCAGCATTCTGGGTTTGTTAGTTTTTGAAATATTGGCATGTATTCCTAGAACAGCGGACATTTTGACCCCTTTACTTTTAGTCCTGTTTCTGCTCGAGGCATTGTCAAATAACCCATGAAAAACATTCACTGATAAGGATTTTTCAATTGCATTTGTATTATCGCCCAGAAAGATAAAAACCTGGGTGGTCTCACTACTAATGACTACATAATTTGTTGTGCCTTTGTTTGCAATTATCTATTCGTTTGAAGAAAATACTGCAAGGAAGGTAGATGCAGGGTTTTTCATGCTTACATTTATTTTCAGAAATAGTTTATTTTACATATGTATTTCCCATTTGTTAGTTCAGCTTAGTTACTGCGGGTGATAACGGTTAGGACAGATGTTTTCATGGTAATCCCAAATCAGTATTTCAGTACATATGGATTCTGCCATCAAGTTCATTATCACCTTTCCCTTACGCTGTGAGAATCATATGCTAAAATATATTCCCTATCGTTTTCTGATAGTCTGATATTTTTCTACTTTTTTTCAAATTTTACAAAATATGTCTAATAAGCAGAAATAGGTCTTATGGATGAAGAAATTAAAAAAATTGCTGCAAAAGCTATCTGAAAATGAACCCGATGGAGATGAAATTGATCATTTTTCTGTATAAACTGAAGACGAATTCCAGACACAAACTATTAGTGAATCTGAGGACAGCGAAGTAAACGAAGAAGAACTCAGGAGAAATAAACGGGCAAAAATGGATCAGTGTATTTGCAAAACTGGTTTTTACAGCTCCTGATAATACTATATGGTATGAAATAAATTCCAAAAATTCAGTTGGCACCGTGTTCCTGCTTATAATGTTCTAAAAGAAGCAGCAGGACCAACATCTTTTGCAAAGAGTCGTGTTTCTGAGGACAAAGTGTCTAATGCTTTCAAGCCTTTTTACTGATGATGATATCTTGCTTCATATAAAGAAATGTACAGAATCCGAAGCTCATCGGCCTTGGAAATAAAGACTGGAAGTTATCCGTGGCTGAGTTAGATGCTTTTGTCGCTATATTATATGTTCGAGGAGTAATAGGAGCAAAGGGCTTAGATTTATATTTCTTGTGGTCCAAAGCGTGGGGAATACCATTTTGCAAAGAAACTAGATCAAGAGGTAGATTCAAAGAAATAAAATGATTTTGAATTGTTTGATGAAAAGACAACAAGATCTACTCGATTACAGACTGATAAATTTGCTCTTGTATCAGACATGTGGAACAAATTTATTGAAAACTGCAAAACGTGCTACTGGCCAGGACAAAATATTACAGGTGATGAACAATTATTCCCATCTAAAGCTAGGTGTAGATTTACACAATATATGCCTAATAAAACCTGACAAATTTGGAATAAATTTTGGTCATCTCTCAACGTTGGTGCTAAATACCTCTTGAATGGATTTCCTTATCTAGGAAAAGATGAAATAGCAAATCCTCAATTACGTTTATCTGAAAATGTTGTCATAAAATTAACGGAGCAACATCTAAACAATGGGAGGAATATTACCACGAATAACTATTTTACTAGCATTGAATTAGCAGAAATACTAAAATAAAAAATACAACTGTGGTCGGCACAATAAAAAGAACAGAAGAGAAATTCCTATATCTTTGAAAAATATGCATAGTAATCTTTATTCATCGACAACAGTGGAACATGATACTATCACACTTACCATCTATCAAGGCAAAGAAACAAAAGCATTTTTCTACTGAGCTCATTACATTCTACTGTAAAAACTGAAGACAGTCTCAAGAAGTTGCCTGATTCAATAGCATTTTACAATGCAACAAAGTATGGCGTGGATATTCGTGATCAGATGTGCCGAAAATATTCAGTTAAATCGGCTTCTAGATGATGGCCTGTACATATCGTTTTCAATATTTTGGATCACGCAGCTTTGAACGCCTGAATGATTTATAAAAGTGTAACAGGAAACACCATTAACAGGAGACATTTTTCTACTGAAATTAGGAGAGGAGTTAAGAATACTACATATGGCTTCAAAACTCCTCAAGATCTTTCTTTAGTCTTCAGGAAAAAAAAAAAAAAAAAAAACATGAAAAGAAAATGGATATCAAGAGAAAAAATAGTCAAGTACAAAGATGCAATCAAAACAGATCTCAAGAATATTGTGTATCTTGTTCCAAAGTTGTGTGCGGAAAATGCACTGGAAAAACTGTTAAAAATTATTTTTGTATCAACTACATTAATTCTTAATACATATGTTCTATGTGAAATCTCTAATATTTTTAACATTAAATAGAACTGAAATGAAATGCTTTACATATTCCATTCAACTACACGTATAATGATATAACTGTAACATCAGAGAACAATTCTCATTTCTGGATTTAGAGAGTGAATCATCCTCCGAGTAAGTTCATAAAAAATATTACTATATAAAGTGTGTTTTATTTTAGTTAACACTTGTTTTAATTTGTAAAACCATTTTTTTAAATCAATTCTTATATCAAATTAATGAGTTATTTGAGTAATTGTAGTATGATCCAACTGATCGCCATGTACTCGATACATTTACAGTATTTTAAAAAGTCAATGAATTATGTGATATTAAATATAAATTATGAAATACATATAAAGTACATATTTGTACCAATGTATGGCATTCAAAATTGTTTTACCTTTGTTATTTCAGTACTTTCATCGAAGGGTTAAAATGACCCCTTACCACCGTTCCAGTAGGTAAGATTTTTCTGCCGTTCTAGTGTTAATAAATTTAAATTTCAAATTTTTCATTTAAATTTCTTGACTTACCCTAAAATACTTCAAAGTGGTAAAATTTTCTCATGGTATCGATTTTAACTATTTTTTTTAATAAATCCGCTTGCTTAGGAAATCTGTATACTGACACTTTAGGGTATTCACTATAATTTCCTTAGCATAATGGCACATAACACTTTAAAGGTATAAGTTTAGGTTTGGTTTGGTTTATTAGATCACGGCAAAGCACTTGAGGGCTACCTGCCTTAAGGGAGGGATGCCTTCATGGAGGACTTTTTAAGGGAAACTGGCTCGTATACACGCTACACATGGGAAAAACCACGAAAACATCCATGCAGCCAGCCCGTTTGTGGGATTCGAACCTCGGACCGAACTACCAGTGTTCAGCGACGTTACTGCTCGGTCATCTGGTGGGCCTTTAAAGGTATAAAGAAAACAACAAAAAAATCAGAAGGCATAGTAACTGACTTCATTTGCTGTGGACGCTATGCTGAGTCAATTTAAGAGATAATTTAATAACTTAAATGATAATTCCAGAATGGATTAAATATAATTTAATTATTAAATTAATAATAAAAGAATACATTACTTTTTTCTTGTGAAGTTTAGTTTCTCTACATTGGCAACAAATCCTCTATTTTGCTAAGTTTCAAATGTAAACAAACATGGCTGCTATAGTACAAAAATTAGGCTTAGCTCTTCTTAAATAACTTTTAAATTGTTGATAATTCTAAAACTATAACATGCAGGTTAACTATAGGCATAAAAGCTTTAACTGGAAGATAAGAATAACATAATTCAATTCTCGCAAATAGATCACGCTACAGAACACTGTGAGCACTGTCAGTTATGGCCACCTGATATATTCATTCAAGAAATTAGTATATTCAGAGAGTAGCTACTCAAAAATAAAATTAAAAAGTACGTTTCTAGTGTGTTTTAAGCAAAGAAACGGCACTATACAAGTAAAGTAACATGTTTTAATAATATTATTGAATGCTATAGCCGATAATTCTAGTATTTTAACAATTAGATTATTTACCCTCACCCAACGCATTTGCTATTTATCTTTAATTGGAATACATTTGCTTATTGGACACTTTTAATAAACTTTAAGCAATAATTCTTGGAGACGGTTTTCTTCTATGTTAAGTTTAACTTATGTCATAACCTTTAGCCCACTGTCACAACATACAGCAACCCAACAGAGTTGGCAATCCTACTTTTAATACATGACTACTTTTTTTCATTATACTAAATCCTAAATGTTACAAAATTTGTATTTAGAATTAGAGACTAGGGATACCTAATTTAAAAAAATAAATTAATGCACAGTAAAAAATACTTAAAATGTATACAAAAATAAAACTTTTTTCACGTGTTTCATTTTAAACTTGCATAAATTATTTTACCACAGATAAGCCAATAAGACAGACAGTCTTCACAGGAAATGTTTTTCCATTATCATTAAGAAGTTGTTGAAGGTCTTTATCAAATCTTTCCAAAACCATGAAACGATATTTGGAGTTGTTGAATTCAAAGGACCCAAAGCCATGGCATGGAGAAAGACCCAAATAATCTAGTTTTTTCTCTTTTATCCATGTTTTAACTATCAAAATAGAAATTTTTAATATTAAACTTGATAAAAATATACCAATAATTATAATAATATACCAATAATAATAATAATACCAATAACATTAACAAAACATTTTTATATCTTAATTTAAATGTACACATATGATAATGAATGAATCATAATACTGCTGATAGCTGTTACAATAGATTTTGCATCCCAAAGAAATAGGACATTATAATGAGTAGTTATTATAATTAAAATGTATTTAATATACTCTTATCAGATGGGGTCTTTTTACCCTAGTCACTGTAATGAAATGGTCAGTATAATAAACATAAATTGCACAATCTAAGATAGAGTTTCTTATCTTTAATTCCTTGAAACCCTTGTATTCTTTAAGAAATAGTATTATCTGCATACAATTACAAGCAAATATAAGGATAATAATTACATGCAAAGTTTATTATAATTTTTAAAGATTACTGGAGACACGAATAGAATATCAGCAATTCTATAAGGCTAAAAGAAAGGCTGAAAAACACTAAGGTAATCAAATGCTATCATGAAAATTTTCATGCTACAATATAAAGTACAAGTTACGGAATCACTGGGATCTTGGTGATTTTAGATTTAAAATTATCTGTTTAAATCTAGTATGATGGCGTGTACAAATTATAGAATTATATGAAATGATGAAGCACTTTGCATTTTAAGGGAATTTAAAGTACCAGAGAAAAAAGAGTGAATATTTGTTTTATTAAATATTTTGCTTATCATGTAATATGCAATCTACTGCTTTTAGTTAATTATTTTTTAGATGGCGATACTAAAATTGTTATTTTAATCATTCTTTTTTTTTCTCACTTTATCATAAATTCGAATTTAAAAATAATGCCTTAGTGGAATTTAAGCAATAACTAATTACCTACAAGTGACAGGTTGAATATTACAGGATTACCAACATCTGTTTCAAAGTAAATTATTTTAGCTGTTTCGTTTTTTGTGCTAATACTTTCTCTTTATAGATATACATAATTTCTTGTTCTGTTATAAAGTTTGCACCATGAAATATAGTAGCTGGTCATAAATCAAACCGCCATTTTTTTTTTTTTTTTTTAAACATCTACACAGATGTTCTACCATGACCTTGCAATGTGCCACACACTATTTTATATCTGCATTTCAGCATACTAATATCCACTGACTGAATAATGGATGCAAAATTTGGGGGAAAGAATAAAATGTTACTTTTTGCTAAAATTTTAAATGCACCATAAGTCAAAAAGTTGTCATTATCAGAATAATTTTGCCATCATCTGGTAAACCAACAGATTTCCAATACTGTTGTGCATTGAGTATGAAATGATTTTCAAAGTGTCATCCATGTTCTTTATTTGGATGATATGCAATTTTATTCCTTCCAGATACAAATAGTCATGTATTTTTTTTTTTTTTTTTTTTTATTATGAAAAGTTTACACTGCAGCATTTGCAAATGCCAAAACTGTTAGTCTTGCTTTGGAATCTTTAACACCAGTTGGGAGCTTTTCTGCAGATGCTGCCAATGTTTTTCAGAACACACATTTTCAGAATATATGTTCTGAAGATAACTTCCCACTATTAAAGTTTAATGAATTAGATGAATGAAATCTGTTCTGATGCTTCTTGGAGCTGAACTTTATACAATAGCAATTTTAAAATTTGGTTAATCAACTTGTCAAATATGTGCACTCATATTTTGGCTTGAACCATTAACATTGGACCCATCAATAATATACCTTTGCTGCGACATTTTCTCAGCCATTCATTCAACATTTTGTCACTTTTAGCAAAATGAATGATTTTTCTGTTATTCACTGGGAGCTGGGTGTCAGAATCCACAAAAATTCAAGTTCTTTTTCATGATTTTTATGTTGTATATTGTTGACTTTCTTGATATACTTTTAAGTAAGCATAATGTTGAGATAGATATGCTTTTATTTTTTAGTAAGCATAATTTTAAGACAGCTATGATTTTATCATTTTTATAGCATCTTTTTGATATAACTGAAAATTTAAACTTTAATTTTGCTAAGATAGCTGCAATAATAACGTGCAAAAAATAATAAGCTGGAACAAATTAAAAAATAGCGTAATTTGCTATACTAACTGAATTAGGAATCTTTATGTCACTCCATAACTATGCCAACAAAAGAAGATCATCCCATTCCCCACAAATATTTGCATGTGTGTGGTGATTCTTAGGGGGGGGGGACTGAAAGGCTTCAGATTTTAAATTACATCCAAAGGGGCATTTTTTTAATGTTTTATGTGTTACCTTTATTTATTAAATATCATGTTCTACGTACTCAAACCATAAAATTCAGTTCAACAATATCGCAAAATAGTCCACCGCCCACTTTGAGAATATTTTTGTTTTCTAAAGCTCCCCCCCCCCAATTTTTTCACTTGTGAATTTGAAACAACTATTGCCACAATTATATTTAAACATGTAATATTATATAGTAAAGATAGGATATGACTCGATCTTTAGTCTGAATTTAAAGACTTTTTCAATGAAAACAATTAAAACACATACTTAATTATATTTAAAGGTATTTTTATTGTCAAAAGATATATTGTATTTATTACTTATCTAAGGAGAAGGTTGAATTTGATGCATTTTAAGCAGTTTGTTAATATCAGGCTCTATTTTACTACAAAACAGCCATAAGTCGTTCCGTTCAGTAACATGAAGCCAATTACTCTTTTTAGTTACCAACGTTGCTACAGCACTAAATCCTTATGCAGCTAAATAGAAAGATGGGAATGCTGTCAGAAATCATTGAACAACCAACTATAATCCTGGGTACAGCTGCAGAACTGGCTTGTGTAGCCAAAATTCTTGGTAGCCCTTCTTTAATTTAATTTGTAATTCTTCATTTGTTGTCAGTTCTATTAGTTCTTCTAATTGGGATGATCCTGCTGTATTGACATTTGAAAAAGGATCCAAAACCCAGTCTGGTATGGCTATGTTTAGAATGTCGCAGAATTATTCCTTGAAATCATTGTGGAGGTTTTCTCAGTGTTGACATTAAACAAGCAAGTCATCATGCTTGAATGATACTGTTGATAAATTTGGGAAGTTATTGAATTCGCGTCTGGCAATATTTCTTTTGTATAACAGTAGTTTTGACATGGAAGCAGCAACTCTATTTTTTTTTTTTTTTTTCCTCCTTAATCCAAGTTTAAGTCGTTGCCTTGAAGTTGGAGATTGGCATCATTAAATAATTTATGCAGGTTTGTCAAGTATGCAATATTGTTCTTTGATGAGATGAAGTTGTGCAGGACTCATCCAGCTGAATTGAAAATTGACAAGTCTGCAGATGATTGCACAATGATTCTGCAATGTTTTCAGCCATCTCATCAATTCATCTTTGCACTGTTGCTCAAAGGAATTTTTCGGATAATATCTGCAGCTGGTTTATGGAGCACAGTGGTTATTACTTCTTTTACTACTGGTAAAATTAAATTTTCCTCAATAGTATGTGGTTTGCCAATTTTAGCAATCAACAATGAAATATTGTAAGAAGTCATCTTGCTTAGAAACTGATGAAAGAAGTTTTGATACAGTTGGCTGAATTTCGTACTTCTTTTTCATGTCTTGAAAATAAGCCACATCTTTATTATTCAGGTGTATTTTATTAAAATGTTCTTGAAATCTAGAAGGCTTCATCTCTTCATTTGAAAATGTTTTTTTGACAAATAAGGCTCACCGGCAATGGCGGATTTGTGGCATTTTCGATAAATCCATATTTAATGAATATTAGACATATCCAAGTTAGGGCTTATTTATTATAAAATATATACACTGTCACAGCTGTGATAAGAAACATGACATTCAGAGCATGATGATAATTAGCAGTCACAAGCTGGTAAAAAAAAAAATTGTGCCAAAAGACTGTTGTTATCAATTAACCATTTCCATTACCCAAAAATATGAAATAAACAAGTTCTCAATTAACTATTTCCTTTTCTCATGGGCAAAACCGGTAATAAGCACCCAGTGGAAGATCTGCTCAGGGAGACACAAAAGAAAGACTTTGAGAATTCTAAAACTGAGAACTGTGATGAAACTGCTGAGAAATGTGATGGATGGTGCTGTGAATAAGGCGCAAAAACTGTGTTTGCAAAAGCGAATCATCTGCTTTGGTTTTAATCAATGCTCTAATACTGATTTTAAACATAATGCACCTCTTGTATAACCAAGAATTAATTCGCTAAGTTTTCATTAAAAAGTCAAAAGACAACTTGCCTGTTTATTCTCCCATCTCGGGAAAACTCAGCAACATTGCACAATACAGGAGAGGTATTTCTCAACAGTGAAAAGATCAACTTTTAAAACCCTGTCATCAATTGTGTGCGATAATGCTAATAATAATAAAATGAACAATCATTGCCTTTATATAGGTTGGAGACATACAACACGCATCAACAGGAATAAGATAAACATTCAGTGACTCGTTTATAACACTCAGCCACTCCGCAGAAGTATAGCGTGGGGGCAAGGGTGGTGTGGGAGCAGAGTGCAGATTAGAACAAGCACAGCTAATACTGCAGGACTGCAAAAATCCTGTTATTTTAAAAAAAAAAAAAAAACTTGTAATAACTGAAGTGCTAAAAGCATTTTTTTTTTTTTTTTTTTTTTTTTTTTTTGCTATTTGTTATTAACAATCTTTTGTTAACTTTACCTGTATTTACATACGAGATATTTCATGTCAAATTGGACGATTTGAAAATTTTTATATCATACAAGTTAATGTAGATCTGAATGTAATGGAATCTTTAAGTTCAATCTTCATCCACTTCCCAAACTACAGAAATATGTGAGTTTTGGCACACATGATAAAAATACACACAATAATAAAAGTTAACCAATATTGGCACTAGTTCAGTTTTCTTACCCCCTAAAATATTTATAAACATCTAAAAAATGTAAACATTTAAACAAAATCTATTGGTCTATTTTTTAAAAGGCAGAATTTTATATAAATCATGAAGTCTATCAGTAGCCATAAAACAACTTTTTATATATAATACTTAATTAGCTTTATAAATAAAGTTAGGTTATTAGGTTATGGTCAGTATCTCCTCTTGTAAGGTATAGTTGCTTAAACTATAATTATACATTTATGAAATCACTAGTGTGTATTCCAGATACAGTAACAAAATGATGCTATAATTTATTAATTCTCGTTATTGTTGAGTATAAGGGAACCCATCAGACACAACTTTAAACTAAGTATCACGCTTTATTGTTTCTTCCCTTCTTTTGCTACAACCTCTACTAACTACGAAAATGTTATCAAACAATTCCAGGTTTACAAGCTCCTCCAACATGATTTTAATTTTTTGGACTGGGGAGAAAAAAAAAAAAAAAAAGAGAGAGAGAGAGAGAGAGAAGCTAACTGACCTTTAGTTCACTTTTCCTACCCCTCCCCAGACTAAATTGCATATTTTTTTTTTACATAATGTATAGGGGGTAGGGCAGTTGAACTAGCGCTCCAATATTAAATTTTACTTTAGTTAGTACTTTGTCCCTGAAAGACTATTGTTTTCGTTTTGCAATTTTGCATTGAATCACTATAAACGGCGAATCACATTTCAAACTGTTGCCACTAAACGTTAGAGTCCTGCATTATATTTGAAGAAATTAAATAACGAAAACTCTGCATAAATGTATGTATATTTTCTTGCAGCATTGTGATAAAACAACGGTACATAGAGCCATCCAATTTTGAATGACGTAATCCTCCTACAAATATGGGCATGTGGGAGACCAAATTTGAAATTTGGAATTTGTTTTCTTATCAATTTCATAAAACTTTAATGAATTTTTTGAGTAACAAACTCAACGATTTAAAAGCGAGCAATGGCAACACTCTATGGAAGAAAAAAACCTTTTTATCTCCAGCGTGCGGAAATGTGTATCAGAAATTCTAAATGTATGCTCATTTTAAAATTATTTTGCAACATTGCTATTGAACTGAATTTTATGGTTTAAGTGCAAAGAGAACATGATATTTAATAAATAAAGGTAACACACAAAACAGTAAAAAATGCCCCTTTTGGATGTAATTTAAAAACTGAAACCTTCGAGTTTTTTTTCGTCTTCTTTAGATAATATTTTTTAATCTGCCCATGCCCGTCCGAGCATCTCAACATCGAATTTTCTCTGGGTCCTCTACTGCCCCCGAAAGTCTCAAATGCCCACATGGGCATTATCGTTCAAGTCGAGAATCTAGGCTTTAAAGCAATCATTTGTACAAAATACTAAAATAATCTGAACTGCACATGGTTCTCTTAGTAAGATTTGACTGCATTTCCAACTATTGTATCCAATACTTCTAATTTTTACCTTCTGCCAACCTATACGTATAGGAAGGAAGGTAATGTTTTCAGTCTAAACATTCGATAGTGAGTTTTCAATGAATAAGCACACAAATTAGGCGCTCCACAACACTTTTTTACTATTGTTATGATGATGTCTGTCTGTGCATCTGTATAATGAATTTTTTCATTAAATCTTACAAGAAATTTTCCATATTTAAGCTTTTTACATACATATAGAGAGCTAATTAGATTTTGGGGTTAAACTGGACAACTAGAAGTAGTACTTTACAGGAAGCATACGTTGTTGCTTATGCTCACTTCTCTGACATAGTCAGCCAAAGCCCACGAAAAACCTCATGGCAAAGAGTGCTAAATTACGCCTGTCGTTGGCACAGCCTTGAGCACCTAACAGGTGACAAGGTGGCTCAGTTCCACCTCCAATTTTGAAGGAGAGCACTCCAGGGAAATGGGTCCAAGGGTCTCCCACCCCTCTCCCCATATTTAGAGTGCCGCCATGATGCAACGACACTATACATTTACAAACATCCATGCCTTCTCCGGGATTCGTACCCGGGCCCTTCGGGAGAGCAGTCAGCGACACTAACCACTATACCGGTTGGGTGGCACAGGAAGCATATAATGGTCTTTAATATAAAACTGTACTAAAATACAAAACTTTTTCATTTTAGTATATAATACTTTTATATCAAGGGTAACAACATATTAGAATTTGGCTCAATTTGGATAAACTGGAAGTGATACTTTACTCGAAGCTTTGAACATATTTTCATGAAAAAATATACTGAGATAATTGAAAATGTCTTAAATTTGGTATTTAAAACAGGTATGTGATTGCGAACAACACATTACATTTTCACCTCCTTTTACCTATTACATTTTTAACCTTTAATTAAATGTATTCATGGAATTATGTTAAATGTAATGACAATAAGTCAAGACTAACTCTCTTTATGAAACAAATGTATTAGTCTCAATCCTCAACTTAGTGTTTGTTTGTCTTTTGTGTCCAATCATTTTCAACAAAAGGATGCTGCCACCAAATGTTATTGCTACGTATCATTTTTAAAGAAATAATATAGCAAATATATATAACACAGTGAATATGAAAAAAATATTTCAACAATTAACTCACTGGGAATTCTAAAGATATGCTGATTTTAAAGATTTTTCTGTTGAATTAATGTCACATAAATGCAAAGAAAGCTATGTTTAATAAATAAAGCTCATGATAAATAAGAAAGTTTGTAATCTTATTAAAAAAAAACTGAATACTGATATCAATAACCAAGAAAGGACTGAAAAAGAAATATATAGTAAAACTTTATTGGGGGATTCTAAAGATATGCAGCTGTAAAAGTTTTGTGATTGTTAAGCAACAGATTTGTAAATTTGAAACACTTAAAATGACAAGAGGATATAATCGGTGCAATATTTTCAAATCAAAGCAAGAGAAAGGATATATACATGAGCATGTATAGTTATCATTGTCCATTGCATGGAAGAGTAGATTTTATAATTAACATTGAGCTATAAAGTGTATTAACAATTTAGAATTTATTTACAAATTATAAATTGGAAGTGATATTTTATTTAAAGTTCCTTGGCAATTTGATAAAAAGAGTGCACATTAATCTTTATATCTGGTAAAAATGGTACATATTTCTTTGTGAAATGGTTTGTGCACAAGACAACATTTCATACTTTAAATGAAATTAATTTTAATAAAATTCACTAACTTATTCTTTCTGATCACGCTGTTAAAAAACTAGTAAAAATAAACAAAAATAATATATATATATGTACAAAATTTTTACCCTGTTCCAGATTTTAGCATATATTCTTTAAAAGAAAAATTAATTACTCACGATGTTCTGGTTTCCCAATTTTCTGATAACAATGCATCTCTGCAAACAGAGGTCCATTTCCATGATACTCCTATAAAGCAGGAACAAAACATTAATCTTAAATGCTGCAAAAAGTTGTCTAAAAACAATACTAGGTACAGTCAAAAGTCGTTAATTCGGACACCCATAATCCAGAATGATCTATAATCCGGACCTCAAAGCTACAAACTTTCTGCGCATGCGTCGACGCATAGCCGTTTACGTGCGCGCGTAAGACCTTTACGGCTGCGAATATGCTTGTGCGCATGCTCATAAAACGTTTACGCATGCGCGTTTAATGTATAACGGACAGTGTAAGCTAAGCTAAATTTATCTAATTCAGTTAATGTTGCAGATTGCGTTGTTCCTTAATCTTCGAATTGGATCCGGCTTATTATTTTTTGCAGACTGTTAGAGCAATTTTATAAAAGTAAGCTTAAACTTTCGATTATATCAAATAGATTTTCTGATATATATTTGTTAATATGTAAAGGATCTAAAGCAAAAGTACGTTTCGAAATCCGAAATCTGCTTATCATTTTCATGCTGCTCCGGGGGGGGGGGGGGGGGGGCGCCGCCGCGCGGAATGAATGGGAAGTTGATCTGTCAGCACTATCCTTATCTTCAGAGCAGATGTTTTTATTTTATTTGGCTTATAATTCCTTACCAAATGTAGTATTTCATCTCGATGTGCTCCATCTTTGATATGATTTAAAACAAATTTCCTCGTCATTATAATTCGCTTCCGGTATAGTGAAGAAAGTGACAGAGGTTATTGAAAACGAAAAAATTTCGATTGACAAATTAGTCGGTATTCTCGACACAGCAATTATAGGACTTGAACAGCGGAACTTTGTAACTGAACAAGAAATTATGTTTGTTTAATAGAATTAAAGAGAAAGTATTATCACATGAAACGAAGCAACTTAAACAACTTACATTGAAAGAAATGTTTAATAAAGTAAACAAATAAATATTAAGCTTTTTCTTTTTGTAAATTTTGATACCCTTTAGATCATAATTGTTCTTTATTTCATAAATTACGGTTTCATATTTTTAATTTTGTAATTTCTGCATGCCATCTTACCAGATTTAAACTGATGATCTATAATCCGGAAAAATTGATAATCCGGAATCGCCGAAGTCCCAACGAGTCCGGATTAACGACTTTTGACTGTATAATAAATAACATTTAAGAACTGCTCTTGTACAACAGAGAATAAATATTTTTGATACATTCACTGTATTTATATATATTCTGTGGCATATACATGAATGAATATGTGATGAAATTTTGAACCTGACATAACCAACACTAAGTTTTTGCTGGCCTGGTACAGATACACCAGTTTGACACAGAAGATAATAACAGTAGGAGGATCATAAGGAAGATGCACTCAGGACCAAATGATACAGTTGTTTAATTATAGTATAAAATCATCAGTGTAAACATCTGTACCTAAACTAAGTCATCAGTCATTCCATGGTTCAAAGCACACATTCACAGCACTGTGATAAAAAGAAACAGTTGACTGTATGCTAGCTGGAAAGACACAAGTGTAGGAAAAACAAAGATTATAACTACTGATAAATATTAATGTACTATACTAGCACCTGTATCTTTAATGTGCAATAATTATTTTTCATGTTAAACATTTTTTACGGCAACAGCAATGTCTATTTTGTGAGAGTTGTTGATTATGTTTTAGATTTCAGAAGAACAGAATAAACATGTATCTTTAATGGTACGCATTTGAGTTTTCCCTTAGAGTTTTATTATTTTTTAATTTCTTATCAGTGTTTATTTGATTTGAGCTGATTCGATAAGAGTCCCTTTTGAAATATCTGGCATCCATAACAGGATGATTTCTTTTGAGTAAACTACATTTGCTTTTAATGGATGCATTGAAAGCTAAGCGTACTCACTTTAGAAGATTATTTACTAAAGTGTTAAATTATAACGAAAAAACTGAAACTATGTTATTGGAGGATCTAAAGCTTCTGAAATTAAAACTATTGGAAGAGAAAGCAAAGCAAATGCTAGAAAACAAAGAGTTAAATAGAAATAAATTATTTCATTCCACAGAAAGTGAAGATGCAATAAATAATCTTTTGAGCCTGAAATTTATACTGATAAATGGAACACGCTAGAATCTCAGCTTTCAATCCTTCTAGTTGACGCAGATCGTAACTCTTGCTATTCCCATAAACAGTGTTTCTAAAAAGACAATTCTTCACTATCCTAAGCTAAAAATGCCCCAGCTTGATGGTATTATTAAAACCTGATTGGTTTTGGGGACAATTGAAAAAAACTGATAGTGACCCAAGTTTAGGCGTTCATGAAAAATTTGCATATTTAACTGCAGATATTGGAGAGAGGATTGCTCACCGAGGAATTAAGTTTGCCCCATGTGGTTCAAAGCAAAAAGTTACAGCAAGTTGAAAGCAAGTTACAGCAACAAAAGTTTAGAATCCCGCAATAAAGTTACAGCAAAGGTTTAGAGCAATTACAAGTGTGCTATAGTAAAGAAGACCCCCTGATGGTGCATGTTAGAGATTTACTTTCTTTAATCTTAGAGAAAAATTCAAGTAAGAAGTTGATCAAGTAAGCAAAATGAATCAATTCATTTTTCTTATGTTCATGGACACCGCAGAAATTTTGGAAATGAGAGAGCTAATGTTCTAGCAAAGCTAATCCTGAAACATCACATTTATTTAAATCTTTGTGTCCCTGCTTCTCAGTAGAAGCACTTTTATAGAAATGATGCTATCTGCATTTGGAACAGATAGATTGCATTTGTATCGAGCCTCACTAAAAGCACAATGGACCAAAAGTTTTTTTTTCCTACTATTTTTCAGAGAGTAAAAATTGTACAATTTTCAAAAGATTTTAAAGTAACTCAATTTTTGATTACATATGGCAATTTTAAGAGCTATTTAAACCGATATGGACTTGCTTCAAGTGCTTTGATGGTGCATGTTAGAGATTTACTTTCTTTAGTCTTAGAGAGTTTAAATACTATCTAATCAATCTGCAGTAGTAGCGATGAAGATATAAAGCATATTCTTCTTGAGTGGTTCATCATGTCCAGCAGAGAATGATATTTCAAGCAACTTTGATGAGGTATAAAATCCCAGGAGAATTTTTACATTAAAATCAATAAAATAATTTTTGGGAAATTTATGCTTTCTTAGTGAAAACCCTGGCTGGTCAGAGGATTAGGGAATGCTCTAAAGTGACTGGACATCTACATATCTATATAACAGATACTGGCAGGCAAGAGAGAAACTTCAAGATCTTCACACTGTTTTACTTTTTCCTTCTGACCAAATTATGTTCCAAATTTTACATTTTGTACTTTTTCATATGTTTGTTTCAAGGTTCATACACATTTTTGCACATGAAAATTAAGTACTTTTAAGGACCTGTAACGAATAAAATTAAGGACATATCAGCTAATGGAACTGAATAATTCAATTAGATTTCTTCTATGCCTGAATTTAGTGACATTTCATTTAAGTTTTAAAAACAGTTAACTTTACGTTCATTTATATATATATATAGATATCCTTCATTTTGTTACGTACTTATTCAGTCAAGAGATTTAATAAATAGCAAGCAGATTTTATGTCAAACATCATAGGTTAAAATGAGAAGTAAAATCATAATCAACATAATCTGTAACAGAAGACTGGCTGTTGCCACCACTGCTGTACACTTAGAGGGAGACATGATCAGAACAGACCTGAATGCCTGATGTTGGTAAGTTTTGAAAGTTAGGTTTTGCCTGTCTGATACAGTTAATGCTGTAGCTTTAAATTCCCAAATTAATAACATTTCACAATTTAAAGCACATATAATTGATTTTTAAACATTAAAGGCTACAAAACATTTACGTTTTGTAAACACAACAAACTACATAATATTTATGCATCTTTTTTGACTAATACATATCAATTTCCTTCTCTTTAAGCATCTTTTCTAGCAATAAGAAATTTGTTTCAATATGCAGACCAATGTTCCCACTAGGTTTTGTTTCATCTCCTAACTTGTCAATGACTCGATAATTAACCTATGAGGTATCACTTGATTTGGTAAACAATGAGTAGTCTAAAACATCTAACAGACGTGAAGCAAATTATCGCCATGTCTGAAATTAAGTACAAAGTAGAATAAAGGTTTAAATAAACTTGTTTATTTAAACTGAACTTGGAACATAAAGGCACATTCTTTTGCTAACAAAATCTACTACAGCTGTCGCCCAGATGGTAGTGGTTAGGGGAGCCTACTACGGTACTGAAGGGACCAGGTTCAAATCCCAGAAAAGACATTGGTGTTTGTAAATGTATAGGTGTCAGTGTAGCATGGTGGCACTCCAAATATTTGATGACCTGAAAGTCCTCTCATGTGGATTGGTGGTAGAGGAGAAGGATGGGTGACACCCAGATCCCCCCACTGGGATGCTCTCCCTCAAAATTAAGGGGGGAAATAGAAGTCCAACCTCTCTTCAGAGTGGGCTCTGGCAACCACTGTTCCATGTAATATGGACAAGACAACAACATCAACTACAGTTGGTGGTGATGTAACTTATGTGTGTAATTAAAAATGCGAGTCAAAGACTACTCAATTTATAAGTTGGCTCAGTAACTCTATCTAATAAATTCTAATAGCGGCAGCGATAACGCAAAGCCGAATAATTACAAATTATAAGAGCTGGCAGGAACTAATGCAGCATGCAAGCGGAGGCCAGAAACACACTTCTGTCTTATTATCCAAAAACCTCAGTTTAAATACTATCTAATCAATTTGCATTCAAGTGAGAAAATGAAAAGGAGAAGTTACAGCAAAAGGGTGAAATTATAAAGAACTAGTTATTTTACATAATAATATCTGTACATATCTTTGAAGACTAATTTTCTTTCTCTTTATGTATTCAGTTTCTTTCAATAAATTTCCTCTTCATTTCAGAATTTGTGGATTTAATTAAAGATTTCTATTATTCTAAAAACTACATATAGTTAGAACATATAGAAGCTGCTAATTTTATGCAGCATGAACATGGAGAATAAATATGAAATGATATATGATCAGAGCCAGTATGGCAGATGAATCTTTTAAGTTGTCAGTTTTCAATTTCTTCATTAATAGAAAAATTCCTTTTTATAGCTGCCTGTCCACATAAGATTAAGAGGCAATTTTTTTTTTTTAATTCAAAATGAATGTGGAAAAATAGACCGGTATTAACCGAGGGGGAAGTATTACTTAATTTTCAAACAATTTTTGGCTGAATAGCACTAAATATCGAGTGATTAATTTTTTTTAATTTAAATGCCCCATAAATATCTAAATATTATTAGATATAATATTTACCTTGACAATTATTGTTTGAAAAATAATGATAACATTACCAGGATAATTTTTTCCCAAATCATATCATGAACATATTCTTAAAAGTGTTTAAATTAATAGCAAATGCAATTTCAAGTTAAATATTTTAGTAACAAAACAATACAAATGAAAAAGTGTAATACTGATTACTTACAACTTTGATAACATAATCAAAATTCTTTGGATTGTTGGATTCAGCAGCTATGGAAAATAAATAACAAGTTTAGAAAAAATATTAAAAAAAAAACAGTAACTAAAGCCTCAATATTATTTTACAAATAGATAAAAAAACACATACCAAAGTATACTGTTCCAAATCCACCAGATCCAATTTTTTTCCCAAATACCCAAGACTTTTTGGTTGTATCACTTACTGCAAAACCTTCAGGTATAGGTTCTGGAAGCTTATGGCCTTTTGCAGCTTTTTGACGGGGAACTTTTTTCGCTACAAAATAAATAAAAGATGCCAATGGTATAATTTTTTTATATTTTGAAAAATGTGAGATAAAAAAAAACCCCTATGGAACATTAATAATTTACTTTAAACTAGCAGCTTTGCTGCCAGCCTTCGTCTGGCTTTTAGATGTACTGGAAAAATGGCTGAAGGAAACACCAAATGTTAAATTTAAAAACTGCATAGAATTTTACTCTGCAGAACAACTTCATGAAAAAAAAGCTATTACGTATAACAAAATTAAAATGAAATAAGCAATATCCCTTAATACAAATATTAATTATCCTAATAAATAAATTAACCAACTTCCCTTTGGAAAATCTTAAGAACTCAAATGGTATAAAGGTTGTTAAGAACTTCCTTAAAAAATCATTCAAAACTTTTCAACATCTTAAAAACAGTGAAATGAGCAATAAATAACATAAAAGAATACAAAAAAAAAAAAAAAAAAAATTCTGAAAAGCAAAGCATAATTAATGATATTTTATCTTATATTTTCAAGAGAAAAAAATTACAATGAAATAAGCTATATCTCTTAATACAAATATTAATTATCCTAATAAAAAAATTAACCAACTTTCTGTCGAAGAAAAAAAATTCATGCAAACCTTTTCAATATCTTACAAACAGTGAAATAAGCAAAAATAACATGAAAGCAACTCAAAAAACATAAAATGCTGCACAGAATTTCACTCTGCAGAACAACTTTATCAAAAAAAAAAAAAAAATAAATAAAAATTCATTAAATATATATATAAATGACAATGAAATATGCCAATCTCTAAAAGCGTGACATAAGAAATACGATGAAAAATTGTTGCCTTACCCATATTTCTAAAAGAATGAAACTATTCAAAATGATGCGATTTTATCAAAAATCTATCAACAACAAAAGACTGTTGCCAAAATCACATTTTTAAAGATGTGAGATGTGAGAAGTATACTCGGAAGCTTCATTTAAAAAATTCTTTAAAAATACAAAAGATTATTATTTTTCCAAAATTCTTTTTGTAAAAGCAGTCACAAGGATGAAAGTTTAATGTGTCCAAAAATCAAAGAAAAATAAACTGTACATTTTTAAAAATAAACTTTTTTAGAAAAAATCCCATTGAAAAGGTGTTAAGCTTCCTTTGTTAAATAAATTCACATTTAATCGATTTATTGGAACACAAAATTTATTTTAAGTTCGTAAAATAGCTAAGTGCCTACGTTTCATGACGATGTGAGAAGAGAGTGGGTAGAGTAAAATCTCGCTTTCCTATAGCCCATTATGTCTCCAAATGACGCGATTTCGTCACAAAACATAAAATAAAAAAATTCGAATTCGAATTTCGAAAAAATCGCTTCGAGGTGCACTGGCTCTTGTCTAGGTGTACCTATGTACCAAATTTCGTAGTCGTGGGTCTATTAGCTTACGCGCAGCGCGAACGAAAGACAGACACACACACACACAGACAGACTCTTTCTTTTATTATATGTCGAGATTAAGATTCTACTTGAAATTAATGTAGATAATTACTGATAGAATTACATTTTTGTAGCGTAGTTTACGTGAGATGAGATCATGTGATACGAATCGGCGAATCAGGATGTTGAACCATGAAAGCAAAGTTAATTCTTAATGTCTTTTTACAAATTTATTGTCTTTATTTATTAGCTTTTTACATAATTTTAAACCATATTAAAATGTTTATGTCTTCAAAATAAAAAATTCTTAGAACTAACATTTTTTATGTACATACTGTATGCTGTCGTCAACAAAGTCTGCTTGGCGAGGTTTGTGCCGGTGAAACGGAAAGCACCAATATTTTCTTAGAAGAGTTAGTTTCTTTATTTTTCCAATTTTACAATATTTTTTAAAGTAATCAATTTAAAGTTCTGTAGTTCAGTTAATAGCATTTTTCATTTCTCAGCACTTTCTGATTATCTTCACCCAAAAGCTATAAAGTATTGTTCAGGCAGTGCATTGAGTCATCAATAATCATTTACCTGACAAAAAAATGATGTCACCAAAAAATATTTACGTGGTAACCCAGGTATGCATGTTTCTTTCCCTCTACTTTTATGAAAATTTTCATCAGTGTGACTGCAGATTATGATGGGAATTCCAGCATTTTATCATTGTTGCGGACCACTCACCGAGTTCTGACATCTCTGGCAAAATCTTCGACTTAGCTTTCTGCATGCATAAAGAGTAATGGGCCTCCTTTCCCTCTTTTTAGGATTTCCTGCATAAGGCCAAATAATACTTGTGCGATTCTCCAATTTCTTTCTTTTTTTTTTTTTTTTTTTTTTTTTGGGAAAAACCGATTGCTGCGTTCATGAGAAGAAAAATTGCACACACACACTTAAAAAACGTTTTGACGGCAACAAAGATTGCAGAAAAAATAAATGGCACTAAGATGCATCACTGAAATTTATGTAAAGACATCTAAATGAACTTTTCCTTTCACAGTCATCAATCAGTTCACGAGTACTCTCTAAAGCCATCAACATGTTCACAACATTTTGGTGTGATACACATAATCAGAAAGCATATATTTTTTTTAATGTAAAATGGAAGTTGAATAAAAACTCAAAAATTCTTCGGGGATACTCAGATAATAGGCACTTGGCAAACTTCCTGAAATCGTTTTCAGCAACTTGGGCGATAAGTGCCATACAGTGGGAGGAAAGTTTAGGTTGCTAGTTTAGACCTTCACTAAGCTAGGAAGAAAGGGAAATTGGTTAATCTTTGGATTATGGTAACTTGGCGATTTTTTGGCGACCAACTCTGCTACAGCAATCTGCTAGTTTTTGTTTGGACGCCATTTTGTTTTCACAAAGTAAAGGCATGTTTCTTTTTTTTTTTTTTTTTTTTTTTTTTTTTTTGTTTTTTACTCAACATTTTTTTTCCAACAATCTGCTAGCCGAATTACGCTTATGCTAGAACTTTTAAGGAACAAAAGTGCTTAATCATGAGGAAGATTAGGTGCGAAATTGGGAGAAAGTGCAGAATCGCAGACTGCTTGCTGCGTTTTTAAGAATTGCACATACACGGTAACCATGTACACGTCGACCTATTTTCACTTAAAAAGACATCCTAGAATTGCACAAAAATGGCATTGCGCACACTCTTGACTTTATCCATGTACACTGCTAAAGTCCTAGCTAGTAAACCTTATCGCCTTACAAAAATGTCGCCAAACAACCTGTTACCACATTCCAAAGATTAGCCGGGATATTTTCTTGCGATATGTAAATACTTATGCACCATACTTTGGCTGTCACAAGAAGTTTTACTATATAAGCAAAATACAGTCAAAAGTCTTTAATCCGGACTCGTCGGGACTTTGGCGATTTCGGATTATAGATCATCAGTTTAAATCTGGTAAGATGGCATGCAGAAATTATAATATTAAAAATATGAAACCATAATTTATGAAATAAAGAGCAATTATGATCTAAGGGGTATCAAAATTTACAAAAAAAGGGTAGAGTAGACTTTAAGGTACCCCTTATATTATGGCGAAGTTGCTGTTTGATTTATCGCCAAGTTGTTGTTTCAGTTATGGTAGCCTGAGTAGTTAAATGTTATGAAACCCTACTGTGACGTAATCGGGTGCATGATTCTGGGAAAATATTGAATCATGAGATGTTTTGTAAGTGTTTTGTGGTGTGTGTTGGTTTGATTCTTTAGATGGTAGAATGGTCGAATGTAGTAAGATTAATATGAAGTTTCTGTACGATTTGGAGGAAAAGGGGAGAAGAGCTTTAATTGACTGGTGTGTAAATGAAGGTTTACTTAGTAGCCATTATAAGTGTCCTGTATGCAGGAAGGATACGCGTCTAGTCGAACGTAAAAACCGTTTAGATGGATTTGAATGGGTTTGTAGGAAGAAAGGTTCACATGGTCACTATGTGAAGTGTTCGATCAGAAAGAGTAACTGGTTTGAAAAAAATCATTTGAGTATGATTGATATTTTGATTTTTATGTGGCTCTGGGTGTACAAAGCGAACTCGAAAATCATGGTAAGTGAATATTTACTTTTGGTAGTGCTTATTAAATGTATAACATGTTTTTCCTTTTTTTATGTTATTTTATTGTTTGGTATAAAATGTATTTTATTGAGATTATGTATTTTTCGCTTGCCTATATTGTAGAATTTGGTGCTCCTTTGACTTTTTAATTGAAAATATATGAATGTGTACATGGACAGAGTAAAGGGAGTGTGCAATGCAAGTTTGTGCAATTCGGGGATTTTTTTTCAAGTGAAAATATGTCGATGTGTACATGGATAAAGTCAAAGGAGTGCACAATGCCATTTTTGTGCAATTCGGAGATTTTTTTGTCAGTGAAAATAAATCGATGTGTACATGGATACCGAGTTTGTGCAATTGTTTGTCTTGATATTTTGGCTTGCGAAGTGGCGATTTTTGTTTAAAAATCGCCGCTTCGCAAGCCAAAATAACGAGTCAAAGAATTGCACAAAATCGGTATCCATGTACCGCCAAAAATCGCCAAGGGGTACCCTAAACTATACTTTTACCCCCTCAAAAAAAGCTTAATATTTATTTGTTTACTTTATTAAACATTTCTTTCAACGTGTGCATGCGCAAATCATACATTACGCATAGTCAAAATTAGAAAATTGGGCTGATCTTTGGAATATGGTAACTGGTAGTTTGACGACATTTTGGAGGCGATAAAGGTTACTAACTAGGACTTTGGTAATAATGTGAGAAGCACTCAGTTCCGATTACGCATTATTTTGTGTGAGGGAAATGACAGATCATGAGATATGTCATGTGACATTAATGGACGAATTACAGTTCTTTAATCGGAAAAGGGGAGAAATCTGGAAATTCTGTATTTAGCTTTATTCTGTGTTGTGTGAAACAGTGTTGGTTAATTTTTGGATCCCATGGCCCTAACTAAAGCGAATTCGAAATGGGTATTTAGGCATTGTGATAAAGAGAATTTTGCTATTTATTTAGCGGAGGAAGTATGGAGGAAAAATTCGCAGAAAAAATCTTTCAATAATTTTATTGAATGAATTAGAAAAGTGTATCTGCAACGTAATCAAAATTCTGAATAAGATTAGGTAAGTTAGTATTTTTAATTATTTGAGGATATTATTTTTATGCGCTGTTCTAAATGTAAGGAGTAAATAAAGTAATATGGTATTATTGGAAAATCGTCATTAACAATGATTTAGTTTAAAGTAATTAGGATTGTAAGCTAATTTTTTTTTAATTTAATATATGTGCTTATTTATATTTTAAGTAGTGTTTTTAAATTTAATTATATTTTAGTTAAATGATAGTTATTTTGTGAATTATATGTTTGTAGGAATTTGGTATACGTTTCAGTGGAAGTAAACGTGCATGGAAATAATTTAAATATTTGACACTAAGTATTTGTAACCATTTGTAATGTTTGCGGTATGAATTCGTTGGTGACGTTTATAATATAATAGATAATTTAGAGGTAAAAGTTTTTGGATATTTTATTTATTTTTATACGTAGAAATGAAATGTTCATATTTGGAAAGGGTATATACTTTTTCGCGATCAGGTAATTTCATATATGTTCTTTTTACCGGATTTAAAGATTCACAAAATTTTCATGCATTTTCGTGAAATTTTTCTAATTTATGAGAAAAAAAGCAGTGTACATGGATATAGTGAAGAGTGTGCGCAATGCCATTTTTGTGCAATTCTGGGATGTTTTTTTAAGTAAAAATAAGTCGACGTGTACATGGTTTAGTGATATTTTAATTAAATGATATTTATTTTGTGAATTTTATGTTTGTAGGAATTTGGTATATGTTTCAGTTGAAGTAAACGTGCATGGAAATAATTTAAATATTTGACACTAAGTATTTGTAACCATTTGTAATGTTTGCGGTATGAAATCGTTGGTGACGTTTGTAACATAATAGATAATTTAGAGGTAAAAGTTTTTGGATATTTTATTTATTTTATACATGGAAATTTTCATCCTTGGAAAGGGTATATACCTTTTTCACGATCAGGTAATTTCATATATGTGCTTTTTACCAATATATGTGCTTTTTACAAACAATTAAAGATTCACAGAATTTTTTTGCATTTTCGTGCAAATTTTTGTAATTTATGAGAAAATAGCAGTGTAGATGGATAAAGTTAAAAGTGTGTGCAATGCCATTTTTGTGCAATTCTGGGATGTTTTTTTTTAAGTAAAAATAAGTCGACATGTAAATGGTTACTGTGTATGTGCTATTTTGAAAAACGCGCAAGGAGTTTGCGACTGTGCATTTTTTCCCAATTTTGCAGTTAATATTTGTCATAATTAAGCAGTTTTGTTACATAAAATTTCTAGCATAAGTGTAATTCGGCTAGTAGATTGTTGGAAAAAATGTTCAGTAAATAAAAAGAAAAGAAACATGTCTTTACTTCGTGAAGACAAAATGGCGGCGAAAAAAAAATAGAGGGTTGCTGTAGCAGAGTTGGTCGCCAAATTTTCGCCAAGTTACCATAATCCAAAGATCGACCGAAAATTGCAACCAGAAAAAACTATTTGATGTGTACTCGTGATAGTTATAATGACGAGGAATTTGATTTAAATCATGTCAAAGATGGAATACATCGAGATGAAATACTACATTTAGTAAGGAATTATAAGCTGAATAAAATAAAAACATCTGCCCTGAAGATAAGGATAACGCTGACAGATAAACTTCCAGTTCATTGCACGCTGCAACGTTCCCCTCCCCCTACCCCACACAGCAGCGTGAAATTGATAAACAGATTTCGGAATGGTTAGAGAAACAAAGGATATGCCTTTATCCATTTTTTGCAGCAATTCTACTTTTTGTTTGATAGCTATCGAAACATACTTTCACTTTGTAGATCCTTTGGCAACTCCAGCATCGGAAATTCTATTTGACATAATCGAAAGTTCAAGCTTACTTTTATAAAATTGCTCTAACAGTCTGCAAAAAATAATAAGCCGGATCCAATTTGAAGATTAAGGAACAACACAATCTGCAACATTAACTGAAATAGATAATTAGATAATTTTAACTTACCTTATACCGTCTGTTATACATTAAACGCGCATGCCTAAACATATTATGCGCATGCGTAAAAGTATCACACGCATGCGCAGAAAGTTTGTAGCTTTGAGGTCCGAATTATAGATCATTCCGGATAAAGGGTGTCCAGATTAATGACTTTTGACTGTATAAGACAGTTTTCAAGACATATTCTAAAGTACGTTACAGAATTAAAACTTAAAACTGCTCTGCATAACCCAGGATTTGTAGTCACCGTAGATTAAGTTCAAGAAAGAAGTGTAAATTGTTTTGGTGTCGTGACTATATATGAGTTATCTGTCACATGATTACCTTAATAAAATTGGTTTAATCCTAGTATATGGTACACACAGGATTTGGCGACATTATGATGATCAGTAAATGTGGTGTTTTATGAAGAGCAGTAAATGAACATTTTGCTGTAGGCGAAAATTGGTGAATCTTCGGATTATGGTAACTTGGCGGTTTTTTGGCGAAACTTTGGCGACCAACCCTGCTACGGCAACCTGCTAGTTTCTTTTTTGGACACCATTTTGTTTTCACGAAGTAAAGATAATTTTTTTTTTTACACAACATTTTTTCCTACAATCTGCTAAACGAATTATGCTTATGATAGAACTTTTATGGAGCAAAAGTGCTTAATCATGACGAAGATTAGGAGAAAGCGTAGAATCGCCCACTGTTTGCCGTGCATATACATGGTGTCCATGTACACGTCGACCTATTTTCACTTAAAAAAAATGGCATTGTGCACACTCTTGACTTTATCCATGCACACATCAACCTATTTTCACTTAAAAAGTCAAAGAAAATTGACAAAAATCCATTTCTTCTTACTCTTGTAAAAAGCGCCAAACAAGTAAGCGGACAATTCTGCACTTTAGCAGCAGAATTGTTTCTAAGTGCTTATTAGCTAAAATCCCCATTGGAATTTTCCAGAAAATGTCACATTACGTCTCCTGATCTCTCATTTCTGTGAGACAAAATAATCTGTGATTCGAACTGTGTACTTTTCAGATTATTGCTGAAGTCCTAACTAGTAACCTTTATCGCCTTACCAAAATGTCGCCAAACTACCTGTTACCATATTCCAAAGATTAGCTCTAAAATTTTTTAAATCATACCAAGCTCGTACCATATACTAGGATTTTACCATAAAATTTACTTCTATAATTGCATTTCTATAACAGATATTGGTTTAATCCTAGTATCCGGTGCACACGGGATTTGGCGACTTCATGAGCAGTCAAAACGGGACATATACGATGGGCCATTCAAAGAATATATATATATTTATACATAGTATATACATAAACATTCTTTGGGTCATTTTTTAGTGTTGCCGATAATTTTCAAAATCGGGCCAAGGTTTCACCGTTTTACCCAGATATTTATGAAGGTTAAACTATGCAAATTCATTTCATCTCAAATACAGAATATACAGCGACTCTATAAACGCTGAACGACTTTAACCAAATCTGCCAAATTCAAGAATAAACCATATCATATTACTGTAAGATTGTTTAATATACACAATTTAATAACATCACCATAGAAAAGGGAGAGGTTAAAATGAATCAGAAATAAAAACACAGTAGATGTAGTGCTACACTGCATTTCTAAAGCGAAACTTATATTACACTGATAACAGCACTATTACTAATACTCGACTTACCTGCTCCAGCCATTACTGTCAATTTTAAGTATCAGTGCTAATAGAAAGTTGCGTTATCACAAAACCTGAAATTTAGAGTCGTTAAAAAAAAAAAAAAAAATTAGATATATGCATAACACATATAATGGACAAGACCCGCACAAAAAATTAAAAATTGTTGCCACTTCATAATATCTAAATGCATGCAGCCAGTCAACGGAGTAACGGAGGCATACGTCACAGAAGATTCGAGTGAGTAAACTTAACGAAGTAAGCCAAACTCTTCCCCCCTAATGCGCGAAACAGTGTTTTATCTTAGATAACAAGTTACTCATTTATAAGTCCGTTCTACGCCCATTACTTTGTTATGCATGCCCAGGCTCGGCTTATGTAAATCAAAAAGAAAAAGATTATAAACGGTGCAGAAATGTGTTCTTCGCCGAATTACAAATTTTCATTCGATCTTACGCAATAGAGTAACGAAAAATTTAACGTAGCATAACGTAACGGAAACGCGTTCACGAAAAACTTAACGTAGCATTGCTTATATGGAAATTTCCGGTTATGTTTTTACCACCAATCCTCGAATTCCATATCACAGATTATGTTCTTACTGCATTAATATAATATTAACAAGACATAGTGCACAATAAAAATTAAGCTTTATTTAGGAACTTCGCGCACACTGCCCGACAGCCTGCCTGTTTCGCTCTGCTCGCTACTCGTAAGAAATTTCTCCTCTAGGGTTGCCACACTTATCGGAGGGCGCAAGGCGCGCTCCTTATCGCCATCACCACAGAGTTTCCCCCCAGTTCCTTTAATGACTATTCAAAGGAACGACATAGGTTATGAAATTATCTTAGAGGATCCGTACTGTCGATTTTTTACATGATTACAAAATTAGAATATAAAATTAGAAAAGATCAAAATGCAATTCAATATATAACAAGGTATTGACACATATAATAAACATGAAATAACAAGAAATATGTTAAGATATGAATTTTAAAAAAGTGTTTTAAATTGTTATGTAAGAAGCAAGTTTCTTAGGGAAGTGAACATGTCTTCCCAATCTGGTGACAGTTTGTGTCTTAGAGAGTTCGTTTGCAGATTTATTCTGCTGAACTGTCTTTAAGTCTTTATTTGTTTTCAGTTCAGGCAAATTAGAGTCCGAAAGCAAATAGGCTGGTTTCACACGGTCTATAGACACAGTAGATTTCAGACCGTTAACATCAATTGTGAAAGTTTTGTCTGTTCTAGAAAGAACTTTATGCGGACCTGTATATGGTTGTCACAGAGGTGGCTTTACTCGATCGACACGTAAGTATACATGCGTACACGACATTAAGGTAGCACTTACGTAACATTTTTCTTGGCAATGTGCAGATGTTGCTATTGGATTCAACTGTTGCATTCTATGCCGAAGATTCGTGATAAATTGTGTGTCATACGGAGATATCTTAGATGACGTTATCATATCACTAGGCAGCTTGAGAGTTGTGCCGTACACCAGTTCAGCACAAGATGACTGTAGATCTTCCTTTACGGCTGTCCGAATACCAAGCATAACAACTGGTAGTGTTTTCAATCCAGTTATTGGTCTCGTGAGCCTTGAGAAGATTTTAAATGTCGATGAAATCGTTCAACAATGCCGTTTGACATTGGATGATAGGCTGTTGTTGTGATTCTGTTCGTACCCAAAATGCGCGTGAATTCTGCAAAAAAGTTGCGGATCTCATTTGAGAACCTTGGTCTGTTGTTATGATCGATGGGCAGCCAAAACGAGATATCCAACAGTTGAAGATGGCTCTGCAAATGGTTTCCGTTTTCATATCCGGGATGGGAATGGCTTCAGGCCATCTGGAGAATCTATCTATTAGAGTCAAAAGGTACACATTGCCTTCTGATGGAGGTAACGGTCCGACGATATCCATATGGATTTCTGAAAAACGTGCATCAGGAAGAGAGAATGTGCCCAGTGGTGCTTTAGTATGCCTAGTAATTTTCGATTTTTGGCAAGATTCACAGGATTTCACCCAATTTTTGATATGACGTTTCATATCGGGCCATACATAACGAGAACAAATAAGCTTCGTAGTAGCTGCAATTCCTGGATGTGACAGATTATGCAGATGATTAAAGATGAGTCTGCGAAAGGAATTCGGAACAAATGGACGAGGAATGTCTGTTGATATGTCACAAAGAATATTACCATCAGAATATTGGCACGGTTTAAATTCCAGTTTCAAAGATGATGTGTTGTTTTTGAGAAGGTCTTGTACCTCCGGATCATGCCGTTGAGCTTCCGAAATTTTTTTAAAATCCAAAAATGGAGATTTTGTTATGGAATCAATTTCGATTCTTGAAAGAGTGTCAGCAACGACGTTTTTTGAACCTTGCACATGGCGCAATTGTCGAGGTGAACATTTATGAGGGTTCTGTTTAAAAGCGTATATTAACGGTTTTTGATCCGTATAAATTATAAAATTTCTGCCCTCTAACATGTGTCGGAATTTCTTAATTGCAGAATAAATAGAAAATAATTCCCTATCGTACGCGGACCATTTCTGTTGACTTTTATTGAGTTTCATAGAGAAAAATGCTATAGGTTCCCATGTTTGTTGAGACAACTGCATAAGTGTGACGCCGATTGCGACGTCTGAGGCATCTACCCAGATGCTTAGCTGGGCTCCGGGAATAGGGTGTCTCAAAAGGGTAGCCTGAGCAATGGCATTTTTGGCAGCAATAAAGGCTTGTTCAGCATTCTCGTTCCAATTTAATTGTGGGGATGAATCCTGAACACGAGAACGAGATTTCTTTTTATTAATATAGCCTTCTAACAATTTTATTAAAGGAGAAAGAATATGTGCTGCTTTAGGTATGAAACATCTATAAAAGTTAAACATGCCTAAAAATCGGCGAAGCTGAGTGAGAGTGGTAGGTTGAGGAAAATCTAAAATACATTTGACTTTGTCAGGAAGAGGTTCAATTCCGTTTTCACTAAGGTGAAAACCTAAGAAATCAATAAATGTTTGACCAAAGGTGCATTTTGAAACATTTATGCAAAGTCCATATTCCTGAAGTTTGGAAAATAAAGCTTTCAAATGCCTGCAATGTTCCTCAGAATCTTTAGAGGCTATGAGCAAGTCATCGACAAAAGCGTAAACGCCTTCTAAATCCCGCGTGACTTCATCTATAAAACGTTGAAAAGTCGCAGATGCATTGCATAAGCCGAATTGCATACGGATACTTTCGAATAAACCGAATGGTGTGCATATGGCGGTTTTGTGGATGTCGGCTGGGTTAATTGGTATTTGATGGTATGCCTTAATCAGGTCGACATGACTAAAAATTTTAGTACCGTGCAATGCAGCAGTAAAATCGGCTAAACATGGAATAGGGTATTTGTCTTTTATTGTTTGAGCGTTCAATGCTCGATAATCTCCTACAGGTCTCCATTCCAGACTTCCCTTTTTTTGGAACCATGTGAAGTGGGGATGCATAATTGCTGCTCGAAGGTCTCAAATGCCCCAATTGCATCATAGTTTGAAATTCTTGTTTTGCTATTTTTAAGCGATCTGGAGCTAACCGACGAGGTTTTGCAACCACAGGTGGACCTTTAGTTATGATATAATGAACGGTGTTATGTTTAACAGGTTGGTTAGGATCTGGTAATCTAGTAACTGAAGGAAATTCTTTTAAAATTTTGTGATATGGTGTATCACTAAATACAGTTTTTACTGAATAAATGCTTGCAATTTTCACGCAACCGACGGTTTTAAAATGCGTTTTTAAATCTTTGAGACATTTGTTTCTGAGATCAGGCGCCAATTCAAAGAAATGGAGAAAATCTGCTCCAAGAATGGGTGTACTAACATTTGCTATAAGAAAAGTCCATGTAAACTGTCGTCTTAATTTGAAATCCAAAGAAAGTGTTTTTTTGACCATAAACATGAATAGTAGAAGAATTAGCAGCGAAAAAGTGTTTGTTGGGACGAATTCCGTTTTTGAGAATTATTTGCTGGAAGTAAGGACACTTCAGAGCCGGTATCGACCAAGAATGAAAGGTTTGTTCTACGGTCACGAACGAACAGGCGACGTGAAACTTGAGGCAAAGAATAAGTCGCCTCTATTCTTTGCTGGTTTCGTTTCCCTGCCATGAACAATGGTTTTGTACATTTGTCATCTCTACACTTTTTCCCCAAAACGTCTATGATACCAGCAAACAGAATAATCTCTCCTTTTGGAATTGCTTCTTTCCTTATTGCGATCTCCGCGATTTGGCGAGCGACCACGAGAAAGAGAAATGCGATCAATACGTTTGTTTAATTTTTCTATTTGTTTAAATAATTTATCCTCAAGAGACTGATCGACTGTGCGAGAAACGGCACAAGTCCCTGGGGTTGGATTTACTTCTAAAATTCTGTCGGCAATTTCTGCAGCTTTATCTACAGTTAAATTGGAAACCGCTGCCAAAATAGACTGAACAGTCGAAGGCAAACGTTGAAGGAATAATTCTAACATTAAGTTATCAGGAACATTTAAAGATTTCTGCTCGACGTTTCATATTTCTAAGCAAATCGGAAGGTTTTCGAGAACCTAATTCTTCTCCAGATAATAATTGGCGAATTTCTTGCTGAGAAGATTCTCCTGAACGATTTATTAACTCAGTTTTGAAGCTTTGCATATGGATCAATAGGGTCTGGTTTCATAAGTAAATCCCGTACTAGTGATGCGATAACATCTGGAGGAAGATGAGAAACTACTGTATAATTATATTTAGTAATGGATTCTGTGATAGGTTTGGGGATGGCAAGAGCAAAAGTACTTTCACACATAATAAACCATAAAGATGGGTCTGATCGGTTATAAACCGGAATTTGGACGGCATGAACATCAGACATTGTGCAAGGTTTTTAAGCCAAAATAAAAGCAAAAATTTAACTAAAGAAAATTAAATTAAATGATAAGTAGAAAACAGAATTATAAAATGATCTATAATTACTACTCATCTGTGATTCGGAGGATGAAAATCGATGTAATCCATTACTTCTGGTTTGGAGATCTTGAGTGATGGCTTGTAGTCAAAACCGAAAGTGCTTGAGAACTGTTCATACGATTTAACACAGTCCAGGTTACCATTATGGAGATTTCCGGTTATGTTTTTACCACCAATCCT